AAAAAAAAAGTGAAAACTAAAAGCTAGAGTCCTATTTATGTGTAGACTGTGGTCTGATCAGGCTGATACGCTGCAGCAGTAAAAATCACAACGGAATGCTGTAGATAAGGGGCTGTTTCGTCATCCACTAACAGCTGTGATTGCACTGTTAAACTGAAAAGAAGGTCTCAATTACCTTTTGAGCTTTGTGAATGCCTTCTGAAAGTCTCAGCATGTCATCTCATAGGTTTAAGTAGCTGATATTTCTCTGATGTCATGCCACATCAGGCTTTCAAATGTAGTCCAGTAGAATATGTAGTACAGTAAAATCCTTTTTACAGTGGGCTTGCAAATGCTTTAAACAGACAGCAAATTGGAAGGGCTAATAACCCTTCACACCCTGAGTTACGCAATCAAAGATTAATTTAGGTTGGGACTYCTGAAAGTCATTTAAACCAAGCTCCTGCTCAAAGCAGGGTTAACTAAAGTTAGGTTACTTTGTTCATGTTCACTGTTCATCCAAACCACTAAATATCTACATTTATGATAGATATTGGAGAGCATTCACTCATGTTTGTGCTGCTCCAGTCAGATTCAGACAGATTAAGGGACTTCAAAGTTACTATTCATGGCATCAATGCTGTTTTTTTTACCTGCAGAATTTAGTCATAAAGACAGCCTTGACAATTATCATCAAATGTCCATGATTTACTCTACCAGTTTTACTTTACTTACATTTGAAYAGCATATGCTCAGATACATAAACCTATGAAAGTTATCTTAAAGATTTGGGAAATGAAACAAAAACAAACACAGAGATGCATCTCTAAAAATGCTTTTGCTTGAAAATATATGTTATAAATTCTTGATCTTTAAATKGTTTTGAGTTTTCTTTCAATTTCTAAAATATCACTAAAAAGCTATTATAAACTACAGAGAAATCTCATAGAATATAGTTTCAGTATTTATGATTTAAAATGCCCTCAGATTATTTTCTTCTATACTAAATATATCTCTCCTGTATTTATACTAATGCAGACAGGAAAATACTATAGTCTTTTCAAAAGTACAGTCTGTAAACCATACATCTTAAGACATKAAATATATTGCACAATTCCGTGCTTGAAGAGGAGATTTCTCCTCTCTTATGCAAAGCCTAAAATTTAACTTTTACCAAGAAACACAGGACATATACTGGGTGTATCTATCTAAAAAGCATGTTATGTGATGCATCAAAAAATACTTAACAAGTGTCCATTAATTCATTCACTGTATTTGAACACATGTAAGGTATTGTTTTTTCCATAGATTCCAACCCAAACAAGTTGAGTAGCTATGACAGTATGAACAAGAGGGAGCTCCACTGGTTACATTGAATGAGATGAGGCAAGCCAAAAGCATTCTAGTTCAACACAGAATTGAGGTGGAGAGGAGTGAAAAATAAAAAAAACAACAACCAACAAACCAACAAACAAAAAAAAARSMAAAAAAAAGCTTTAATAGGTTTTTCAGTTACAGTATCTCAAATTAAAGGAATTTGAAGCAATACAAATTCCTAGAGTAACTGAAATATTTACCTATATAGCAAGACAAGTTTTAAATCTGACTTTTACATGTAATCAAATATGAAAATGAAGAAACATGATCTGTGAAAAACCTAACTTAAAATATATTACAGAATAAAACAATTCAAGACAGTTTCATGAATTTGGCTAAAGTAATCTGTATTTGGCTCATGTCCATCATTATATTAAAGTTAGATACAATAAACAATAAAATTTGAAAACTCATCTTGTTCTTTCTATTGTACTCTACTCTAAATAATGTCCAGCAGACTTCAGAAGACACTTAATACACACAAAGATCTGGAAACTTCATCTCATAGACTGGAACAGAATGGTAATGAGCATGTCCAGCAGTAATGGTCATCGTTCCTGAGGGGCTAGGCGGAGGACTGTGTGAGAAGCACAACCAATATACAGATTTTATAGTTATATAGATTGCTTTGTTGTAACTTTACACACTAATAGCAAAGAAACAAGAGTAAACTACCCCCCCCCATATATACATCAACAGTATACCATAAAATAATAAAATACCTACAGCATTTTATCTTAGTCCTGAAATTCTAATGAAATTATCATGCCCCAAGGATTTTTTGTATTTTTTTCTGTATCATCAATTTCTAATGTTACAGAACTATCCAAATGCATCTTATTGCTAATAAATATTATTTATCTTACATAATGATGTGCACCACTCTCTGTAACAACACCATGTTCTCCTTTGGGTCCTTAATACCTAATTACTTTCTCAACCAGATGCAGCAATGGGAAAACAACWGTATCCTGCCATACTACTGATAGACACAGAGATACTGCAAGACATGATAACTTGGCTTCTGGATATTCTCCATTATCCATCACCAGAAAGATTCAAAATACTAAGAAAATCAAAGTGATGAAAAGTACTCTTTTTAAGCATCCTGGTTTTGGCTGGCTGGGATAGAGTTAATTTTTTTTTTTGCTATGTTTTTTGATTTGTGCTGGAAACAGAGTTGGTAACACAGGGATGCCCTGTTAATGCTGAGCAGAGCTTACAGAGAATCAAGGGCTTTTCTGCTCCTCACACTGCTATGCCAGTGTGTAGGCTGGAGATAGGCAACAAACTGGGAGGGGACAGATGGACAGGTGACTTCAACTGACCCAGGGGATAGCCCATTTCATGCGGWGTCATGCTCACCAGTAAAAGCTTTAAGGAAAGAAGCAGGAAAGAAGGGAYATTCAGAGTGATGGCATTTGCCTTCCCCAAGAGCCTTCCTTTCCTGGAGATGATGCTGAACACCTGTYTGCCCATGGGAAGTGAATGAATTTCTTATTTTGCTTTGCTAGCATGTGTGATTTTTGCTTTACCTATTAAAGTGTTCTTATATCAACCAATGGGTTTTCTCACTTTTACCCTTTCAACTCTCTTCCTTATACCACTGAAGAGGGCTAAGTCAGTGGCTATGTGAGGCTGAAATGCTTATCAGGGTTAAAGCAAAGCATCCAGTAAAGGCAACTATTTTCTCCTTACTACATGTGTTAGAGAATACTACAACATAACCATCTGAAAATAGCCACAATTGATTTATAAATAATTTTTCAATCATGATATTCTTCTTGCATAAAGCCTTACCGGATGGTGAGTTCCAGTATCTGTGCCAGTCTATCATGAAGCAAGTTTGCCTAGGGAGAAAAAAAAAAAAAAAAGAAAATTGAATTATTAACTCCTATTGATATTGTGGAAGTGCCAGGCCACACTCAAGTGAATTCCACATTGCCACATCCAAATCTAGGCCACACCTCTTCTCAATTTCTTTTCTCACTGCTGTAAGGATTCTGAGCCTTAAAGATGCATTTGAGACTGAGCAAGCCTGTCCTTGTGTGCCAGGAATTATATAGCAAATTCTGTTGCTGCAGACAGGAGCTCTGTTTAACAAACCTGAAATACATTTAGTTATCCAAAATATAGATCGGATTAAATATTGCTCCAATTATTCCAGAATGAAATATGATGGACTGTGAACCTGGATTTCAAAGACAGCAAAGAAAACATTACAGTGAAGAATGTACGAGATACCCATTCCTTTCCAAATGGYTTAGGAACCATCAAAAGCAGACTTTAAATTATTGGAATCTCCCAAATTGATAACAGAGCAGATGAAAAAAACCCTGAACTTCYGAATAAGTAACAGCAGCAGTGACATGACAATTTAAATCACCTTCAGTCAGCACATGTCCATTAATGCCCAAACTGATACCTTCAGTGATCTATAACATTTTGCAGAAACTCACTTTGGTTTCACATTGAGCTGCAATTTCTTCAAATGGTGCTTTTTGGAACTTTTCAATCACAAGACGCCKTTTTTCCTTTTCCTGTTCTTCAAGTCCATTGTTATCTTAAAAGAATAATAGAAAAAAAAATAAAAAACTAATGGCAATCTTTGCCTATCAAATATAAGTGATATCAAATGTGTACTGCAGAAGTGATCAAGGATTGTGCTTGAAGTGATGCAACCATTCTCAAGTGACCTGTTCTCTGGCATTGTTCCTAAAGCAAAATGYAGTTAAAATTTTAGGGACATGATTTGAGGATCCAATTTTGCCCCATTCTTACTATGCCTTTAATTATGTACACCCAGGCTCCCGTCTGCCTTATTGCCTGAACTTCTCACTTACTGCACATAGGTTCAACTTCAGGAGAAAACAAACAAGTTCCTCCCTTCCACCAGCATGCTCACAGGTGGCCAGAGTTTCCTATCAGAATTTGGGAAAAGCCATTTCAWCCTCCATAGGCTGACTGAACCTACAAGCAGTTGGAATTTTCCAGTATCTAATGAATTTATGCATATCAGGGATTTGGTACACTTGGAAGACTGTCAGATTAAGTTGTTGTTTAGAATATTGTTTGTGTCTACTGTTTAAAACATCAATGYTCAATCCATATTTTAAACAGGATTTTGGTGGACTGGACAGCATTAATTAACAWTTAGTTATAGTAATATGAAATAAAAGAACTGGATAATTGTGTGTTCTCATAGCCAGGTCACTTGTCAGAAAAATGTTCTTTAAGGAMACCTGGCTTTCTTTCTGAAATCCACCATGTGTAATTTACAACCTWTTTTTTGAATGAATTGAAGATCTGAAAATCTTAATATATAAAAAATACTCAAGTTACTTCCTAAGTAACTCAATGTAACTTGAATATCTCACAGTTACAGCTTAGTTTATAGGGCAAATGTAACAGATGACAGGCATTTCCACATGCTTTTCATTCAGTCCCATTAATTGCAGAAAATGAATTCACTAATATTATCAAGATATAATTTCAGAGATTAAGAAATAAATAACTGGAGTTTAAAATAAATTTACTAGCTGAAAAGAAATAAAAGTAATATTTTCTTCTGGCCTCTCCTTTTTCTTCAGTAATTYCACAGTATGCTGCACAAACACAACTGTAATAAATCTTACCAATGGCTTTCTTCAAAGCTTCAAAGGTGATTTCTTCAGTATTATCAACCTAAGCACAAAGAAACAAAACCCCTTAATCATCATATATAACATATAAGCTTCTAAAAAATAAGGAATGTGATAAACACTGATGGCTGAAGCTGCCAGAACTATTCTGCCTTACACAGCTCTAATACCTTTATTTGCACTTTCAGTGACAGGAGGGGGATCACTAATTCACATTTTTAAGCTACTGAAATTACTGAGGAAATTTTTATCCAGTGAGATAAAGGAAAACTTTCTAATTCTAGTCAAGATGCTTTATGGCAACAATACTTTAAAAACAGATTTGAATTTTGGCAGAACAGTCCTATAGGTCAGGGATACACTGCAGCGTTTTTATATTGTAAAATCTCAGTAGTGGTTCTTAGACATCTGTTGCCAGTAACATCAAATACTTCCTGAGACTTGCTGAGTTACCAGCAATGTGATGCTAAAATAAGAGATGACAGTGGAGGGCAGAGTGGAAAATGGTTACTGCTTTAGGCTAACTTTGTACCATTATGGCTCCAAATAATTTGGTGCTTACGTCATCAACACTGGAGTTAAAGGGCTCTTCATGACAAGCTATGTCTGATGCASTGAGAAAATGTGTTTATCTAATGATATGAATATCCATTTGCTGCTGCAGAAATACATCACCAGGAATGGCTTGGTGCTGCAAAATTACCAAAGTGCTTCCATTGGTTTTACACCTAGTTTCTATACCAGTAAATATAGTTACAGTAAAATCATTGTCATGCTATTAGGGGAGAATGTTTAGATGGCAGAACAATGTTCACCTGAACATAGTTCCTTGGCTTGAACTTTCCCACTTCAATCCTTCCAACATTAAAATAGGCAGCACTTTTYGTTTTCCTGATAAACATTAATTGTTTAGAATGGTCTAGTATGATTTAAAATAAGAGATCTGTAAGGTGATAAAAAGTTCCTTTGTCCTGATCAGAAGATTCTAAATCCTTTCAATTTCTTAATTCATTGGCTGTAAAGGCATAAGCTAGCAGAAGTAGTTGTTCCCTTTTAACATGAGTATTATTTAATGAGCTGCAGCTGTAAATTATACTTTTCTAACAGGTTTTACTGTATTAGCATGTATTCTCTACCTCTGAATAAATAAAGATTAATAAATAAACAGTGAAAGTGTAACTTTTTTTGTCAAATATTTGTGGATATGGCTACAGATCAAGGGTATTCAGGTTCTGAAATCACCTTTTTTACAATTCAATTTGGTAAACATTACATGTTTATGGCTGCCTTTCAAAGTCATAGTTAACATCCACAGTAGTTGCTGATTTTACCCAGCATTATACTTTGTTATTAAGATCACAGAAGCATTGTCTTTTACAAGTGCTTTCATTTTATAAATGGGGATAACCCTGGAACAACCCACCTTCCTAAAGAGGATTCACTAACAGAATTGGCACCACAAAAAACTGAGTCCACTGACAGTATAATTTCTATTGTATACAATAATAGCTATTTTATGGATAAACAGTCTTCTATCTTAATGCATACATCATTCATCCTAAAACTTCCATTACTTAAGTAGGTAATCCCCACAGTTATAAAGCTTTATTTTCCTTTTTTCCAGTTTAGTTTTGCTGACTGTTGTGGACTGCTACACTTACCAATTTAYACAGCAAGAAAAACAGATTTCATATATAGGTATGAAGGTGCAGTCAGCTAAATAGAAAATAGTTTTCTTCTTTGTTTTGTAAACAAACATCACAAAGCCAGTAAAGAAGAAATACTTTGCTTCCTTTGTTTCTGATTAATGCAATTCTTGTTTTTAAGAGATAAAAASTAATTCATTATCCAAGACATTGGACCACATTAAACTGAGAACCCATAAAAAAGATTTTATCTACGACCACTACATCCACTTCAAACAGGTCTATGTGTCAACGCTTGACACAACATAGCATAATTCGAAATTTGAAATGGAAACTTCTCTCATCTAATTCTACTTTCAAGAGAGTTGTTCAATCACATGCGACCACATATAATGCATGATTTTAAAAAAGAATATTAATGTCAAACAGCCCCAATCCTATGAGGAGCATTTACTTGCTTCAGAAAGCTGGAGATCCATCTCACTAATTTAACCTTTTTATTCTTTCTCCTAAACTTTTATCTGTATCCTTGCTAAAGCACAAAAGCAAGAAGTGAACACTAAAGATTATCTGAGATATCATCAGCACACAGCAGAAAGAAATAGTAATAGCTACAACAATAATAATAATAGTAGTAGTAGTAGTAATAGTAAGAATTCAAAACACATCACTTCAGTCTAAACTTGCTCCTTTGTTACAGCTAATGCTGAATTTTTAACTAACACTCAGCTTGACTCAGTCCACATATTTGGCTTCATGCCTCTAGGCAGTTTGTGCTTGAAGATGCCAAGAAGTAGGAATTATCTGTACCTCATCTGAGGTACAAATAGATCCATTTCAACAGCTAATCTCCMTTGCAGCCAGCAGAAATATAGTTAATAAAAATCAGCAGAACCTTGAAAAAGGTTCAGTAGAAAATTATTTTAAGAAATACTTCAAATGAAGTGTCAAACGATGGGAGATAATTTTAATTATAATGCAGTCTTCCGAAGGGATAATTAGCATCAGCTCCTGTACCCTACATATGAACTTTTTGTTGCTACTTTATCATTTCCTTTACTTTTAAGAGCTGCATGCTTGTCCTGGTCCTTGGTTAAACTCTTCTGGAGGGGAACAGTGACACTGGTGCACGTATACTGCCTAGCCTTTACCTGTCCCACTCAGAGACAGCAGGTCTCCCATTAGTTTGTAACTCTCTAGTCTTGCATCTCTCAGCCCCAGGCTGATGAACAAGCCTCTCAAACACTTTAAATGATACAGGGGTACAGATGCTGAAATTTACTGTAYCCCTCAAAAGGCAAAGAAAACATTTTAGAATACTTATTTATAAAATATGAGTTGTTCAACATGTAAATAAATGTATTGMCACCCATATTCTGCATTATTTTCTGTAAAAACTAGAGTGACAAAATACTCTTTTATACAATAAGATCAGCTCRGTGTCTTTGACAACACATTTCTGCAAACACATAACTTGAAAAATTCAACTCCCCAAAGAATTTAACATTGCCAGAATAATCAGATATTCAACTTCCTGGGAAAACTTCACTTGCATTCCCCACTCCCTCCACTCATGATACTGCTTTAAAATAACCTGTGATTTTCATACCTTATCCTCTGYGTTGTTGCCAGACAGAATATCCACCTGAATAGACACTGTGTCCACAACACTCTTCCTCCTGGAGAGTCTGTCCTCATCTAGCACAAAAACAAATTATCTCACTTTTTGCATAACACACTTGAAACATGATCAGTCAAATTTCTACCCATCAGATGCAGATTTGTTTCCATATGCCTGTTTAACCCAAGATCATCTATTTTATAATTTGAATTGTTGTGAAAAATGATCAGTTACTGTTCTAAATTATTAAAGATGAAGAAAAACAACCTTTTTATAGTTCTTTCCCCCTCCCATTCCAAATATTTTCAACTTTCCCTTGAAAGTCCAGAATTTTAAAAATTGAGATGAGATCTTACTCACATGCATAATAAATAASAGCACATCATGACATGTAGCTGTAAAATCCTTTATAAAAGCGAACTTATTTTTTTAATTGTGAAATTGAAATCCTAAGGCTTTAACTTTAGGATATTCTGAAACTGAAAAGGGCTTCTTGMAGGATGATTCACTGACAGAAGAAACAAAGATATTTCTGAATGGAAATGAACAACAATCCTTCCTTATTCTTGTTGCTACAAGTACCATATTCAGCGAGTCTAAAAATCTACTGGGTGAAAAAATTCTCTCTATTTCTCACTTCTTACAAATATTTTAGCAGGTCCAGCTGGCCTAAAAAGTTGTCAGAATAAGACCAACTGTGCTGATACTAAAAGAAGMACAAAAATTTAATTAATGCATAAGGAAATTATGAGTAAAGGATCCATCAGTTGATGGAATTTCCTTCTGTGACTGCAGTCCTGAGACCATGCACCAGTAGTGTTTTCTCATTTTTAACATTAATATATTAACATAAGATTTTAATTAACAGTAAAAAAAGATTTTAAGACTTGTCACGAGGATCCTCTGACAAACAGAGACTTGAGAGGCCTGACTTTTGTGTGTCTCATTTACAAAGCCATGAATTACAATGTCACATTTCAGATTTTAGCCAAGATCAAGCTATTTGTACCTGGCTATTATTTGATGACTTGCACTGCACAGATAGAAGGACCTACAGGCACTTGAAAACAGTAAAAAAAGGAGGACTGTAAAACTCYCCCATGACAAGGTAATTTATGCATTTTCTTCTGCAACCTTTGTTTAAACCACTTCCAGCAAAACAAAGTGTTTTTGCASTGCAAATATTGAGCATGAGCAAACASAATTCATTCCAGCAGAGTTGAACATGCTCAGCTTTTAAAAATCCAGAAATAACTTTCAGAAGTYGCATAAATGAAATGTCATTTTAAGATCAAGAGGCAGTAAAAGAAGATTAGTGAAAAACACCTGAATTCTACTAATATTTGCCAAGTTCTTTAGAGACCCTGAGCATCTGAAGTGGCATTCTGAAGGATTTACTGAATTTTTAATCCCTGACGGCTCACTGGTAACATGACCCAATACATTCCAAATCTGAGGAAAGCACCTCAGTTCCCAAGAGAAAACACCTACAAAACCATATCTCTGCTGCCATCTTGCTGCTCTCTYTATAACTGACACAAAACCACCAGAAGATACATTTTAGGGACTCCTTTGGATAGAATTAATTTTTGTAATGGATGCCTCACTATACTTGCCTATGAAAAATGCTGATTTGTCTCTAATTTCAATACATTTAGCAGGTAAAAAAATTGTGAAAATTGACATTTTTTCTTTTGTAAGGTACAATGTTCATCCACACATATGAAAGAGCCCAGGGGCACAGGGACAGTGGTGGAGGCTTAACACCTATTGTCCCAGCCCCTGCCAAGACTGTCCCAGGAGCCTTGGCCCCACTGCCTAGGGACAATGGCAGCAGCTCTCCATTSATCAAGCAGGATCCATCACTTTTGACAAGGGACAATGGGTTTAAACTAAAAGAGGGTAAATTTAGATAGGCATTGAGAGAAATTCTTGACTGTGAGCGTGGTGAGGCACTGGCACAGRTCGCYCAGAGAAKCTGTGGATGCCCCTGCCTGTCAGTGTTCAAGGCCAGGATAGATGGGGCTTTGAGCAACCTGGTCTGSGGGAAGGTGTCCCTGCCTAYGGCAGGGGTCTTGGAAGTAGAAGACCTTTAAAATTCCTCTTTTCCTTGGTGAGGGACTCTATTCTTTGTGCAGTCCTTAGCCTGAATGGTCAGTGACTATGAGGAATCATTATTCTTTGAACAACTGGTGCTTCTTCCAAYGTTCTGCAAGTTTTTGCAGTGTCACTCAAAGAAGTAATTAGTCAAAAATAATCACAAAAATAATACCTATGGCTCTAGTATCTGCTCAGGAAAACAAAACAGATGACACTATCATATTGTAGAGTACCAAATCATGGATAAACACAACAGCAAACCCCACAGCAGCTAACATTGCTACAAGCATGTCAAGGAGAGAAACAAAAGAAAGTGTAAGGAAACACTAAGTCCACTAAGTACAACACAATTTCTGGCCTAAAGGTCTTTAGGCCTTCTAAAAGGACTTTTTGACTGCACATCCAGGGACACACCACAGGGAGGAGAGCAGGCTGAACCTACAGCTCATTTTTACCTTTCGACTTGTGTTTGCATTTATGAGGTTTTTTGCCTGATGGAAATAGAGTTGAATTAAATACATATATATGTGTATAGACAAAAAATGATTGCACCAAGCTTTCTCCCTCCCCCAAGTAAGAAAGAYAAAAATATATATAAATTTGCAGATATAAATGCCTTTCAAACTGTTAAGAAGTATCAACACATGAAACAAAGACAGGATGACAACATTATGTCTATAAGTCATTGCTAAGCATTATGTCACTGATATTTGGAAATAGTAGAAATAATTAGGATGAAATATTTACTGGCCTTTTGGGTTCAARCCTAGATTTCACATGAATATACAAAAATGGATCATTTTTTACTAAGATTAGGSATCTCTTTTGAAACACTACATTCTAGCATTATAATATTAACAGCAGAAATATTAATATAAACATTTCATTGCAGTAAAAAATGAAAAGCATAGGAATTCCAAAATATTCACTTGGTCCTGATTTAGTTAAACAAAAACCTTGGAAGCTCAGCTTTCCACAGAATCAGAGATTTAACTAATAATAGCAACAGTCAAGGAACAAGTTTTGGTTGCTGCTCTTTACAAAAAGATTAYAAAAACCCTCAAACTCATCTGATTCACATATGCTAAGATTTAGGATTAAATATGGCAATTTCTCATCACCTGCAGAGGCAGATAATCACACACTTGCAGCTAAACTCAATCTTGATGTCAGAACTTACGTCTCTTCCTGTGTAGGAATGCATTTTTAGCAAAGTATATAAGAAAACCATAGCAAGGTCATTTGGGTACAAATATATCTGAGTTTCTAGARGAGGCTTAATATAAATTTCAAACCAGGCTGTCTTCCTCACTCTGTTTTCATTCACTCAAAGCCTGTAATGTTTCCTCACTTGCTGCCTACCTCTTCTGCCAATACTAAATTGTAACATTATTTGGTTTTTTAGATGTCAGAGGAAATTAAGTCATAAGAAATAAGGAACACTATCATTTTTAGAAGAAGGCAACCAGCAACTGAAGACAGACACTGTGGCTGTGTTGGAACATATCACTTGTGTGCCTGCTTGCGTTTGAGGTAAAACCACACCTGCTGTCTGGACAATTCGATTCCTCCCACAACAACTATCCAAAAGAGGTATTCAAGAGCAAGCAGCAATGTCCCTGAATCAAACTGCAACAGCAACACATCCGGCATTCACTGTCTGTGTGCTTTGGTTCTTTCGATGTGTGAGCTAGAGAACATGGAAATCACATTTTTCTGCTAGGTGATTTTAAATGGTCATGCTTTGGGCTGAGTGTCCCCATGTCTATTACAATAGCAACCAGTTATATACAGCCACAAAACACACATGGTTAAGAAAACAAATTCTTCAATCAATTTTTTTCAATTTTTATACTGCAAGTTGCTCAACTGGCTGTTTAAGATATACTAAAAGCCAAAAAAATACAATCCTAGCTAGTCCTTCACACATTATTCACACAGCCTGTGCAGCACAAGCTCCCACAAACCTTCCTCAGGCTTTACTTAAAATTACTTTATTRTATTTATTACTGTATTATATTTATAAATACTTTATTTCCCCTGTTACCTGACACTACGCTTGGATAGGTATCTGACRGAGAAAAATATCCCATTCTTGCTTAAGTCAACATCTGCTCACTGAGAATTTAACTAAGGCAAATAAATCAGAACAAGACCATATGGCAAAAGGATGGAATATCTTTCACTCAATGTTTACATGACAAAGATAAAGTAAGCTGACTTGTATATTCCTTCCTCATTTTTAAGATCAAGTTAGCACAGGTATTCTTTTGAATGCAAAGACTTCATTAAAAAGAGTCAAAGTGGGTTCTTAGGTCTTTCTGCSTCATTTCCTTTATTTAAGGAAAAACTTGAAAGGACTAATAGCTGAAACTTCTTAGGAATAATACAGTAACTAATGAGAAGGAAAAAAAAAATACATCTTGACAAAACAAAATGATCTGATTAGGTTCTGTTGCCAAGCAATCACATTACATTTCACTGGCACATAAAACATTAGGAAAACATTCTTAATAACTGRTACTAAGTGGTGTTGCTACTAATCATCACTTACCTGTTACCTGGGGCACATATGGAACTGACAATCTCTCCACATTGTATCCACTGCCTCCTAATGATTCTGTAATCTTGTTCGTCAGGAAAAACAAATCTGTTTCATCCTTCTCTAAGGATTTTGGAAGACTGTCAAAATACATATTTGAAGTTATTGTCTACCAGTAGGTATTTGTTGGCTAAGTAAGATATTTTTCCAATGYCTGTGAGCAACCAAAAAAGGTCAATGGTAATTATTAGATGGAATAAAGCTTGGTCAATTTTTTAGGAATGAATACACACTTAAAACTCCTAATCCACTGAAAACTGCTGCAGTATTTTAGATTACTTTAATACTTCTTGTTTATCTGAAACATGCTCTTCACCTGTTCTGCAACATCTTGAGAGAATATAAGCTCTGTTAAATAAAAAAAAAAAACAAAAACCTGCACAGCAACACTAATACTAATACTGGTAGTAATTGATTAATTAATAGTAWTATTTGTCATATGCCAGCAGTGTGCCCTTGTGGCAAAAAAGACTGAGGATATCCTGGGCTGCATCAGGAGAAGCACTGCCAGCCAGTTGAGGGAGCAGATCCTTCCCCTTTCCTCAGCTCTAGTAAGGCAACACCTGGAGTGCTGAGTCAGGAGCTGGGCTTGCCAGGACATGGACTTTAACATYAGAGAGACCACCAAAGGGTCACTAAGGTGGATTAAGGGACTGGAGCATCTCTCCAATGAAGACTGAGAGAGCTGGGACAGYTCAGCACAGGGAGAATAAGGTGGATCTTATCAATGTGTACAACCCATTAAGGGAGGGTGGAAAGGCCTCAGAGCCAGACACCTTCCAGTGCTGCTCAGGGACACAACTTGAGGCAATGGGCACAAATTGACACACAGAAGGTTCTGGCTGAACATTAGGAAACACTTCTTTATGTGAAGGTGACCAAGCACTGGCACAGGCGACCCAGAGAGGTTGTGGAGTCTCCATCCTTGGGGATATTTCAAAGCCATCTGGCTGTGGTCTGGCACAGTCTGCTCCAGGCAACCCTGCTGAAGCAGGAGGCTTGGACCAGATGATCTCCAGAGATCCCTTCCACCCTCATCCATKCTGTGATTCAGTGAAAATTTGTTTTGCTTTAGCACACTGAGCATCCTATTAAGCATAAATGCCTCTGACTACAATAAAAAAGTCTGAAAGTCACTTTTTTTTTTCCCCTGTAAGTATACATGCCTTTAATGCTTGGGTTTCTTCTGCCKATCCAGAACAGAATAAAACCTCTGATTTTTTTTCACATATGTAGCATTTTTCAATGATGCATGATTTTTAATAGCAAAACAGGGACTTCACTGTCCACTAATTCCCATTTTGTATCTACTTACTCGCATTTGTCTTTGAATATTGTTTCTGGTAGAAAGTATGATGCTTCCACACTTCTGGTTTCAATGACCTAAAAAAAAAAAACCCAAGTCAAAACAAATGCAGTAGTTCCATAGTTGTTTTCTTCAGTGGCTGATCACCACTAATATCCATCTCAGCACAAATGAGACTTTTAGGATTTCATTTAACCAAAGAAAGAGACCGTGGCTCTCACCCTTTATATTAAAAATCTGGTTCTCCTGTTCTTGTGCATGTCAATACTGTTTTATTGAAGACAGTGGGACTGTAAAGTCTTATACCAGATGGGGATTTGGCCCATTATATATGGCACAATAAGCAAAATAAAAATGCTGTACCTTGAGAGAAGACTATTCTGTCTATAATTGAAAGAGTCAGCAAGWAATGCCATGAGAGACAGAAGATCAAGAACAATGTCAGCGGACACAAATACGGGCGATTAACACCACGAGCAATTACTTGGCGTAAGTTATTCACTGATTTTACAGTAGATTGTGTACTGCTCTAATTGACTTGAATTATTGAATCATGTGTTACCTTGCTGACATGCTGACAAAAGGCAGGAACTGCAATCATCTGACTCAAGAAGTTTAGATACGCTGCAACCAATGCCAGGACACCACAACGATGAAACATTGGCAGATTATCCTCATTGATGATGGCCATGTCCTGAAATAGAAGAGGCAGCATTATGTTACCCAAAATTAACCGGCTGTCCTGAATATGTGAAAATCAAAATTATCATTGGTTACCAGCTGACATATGATGTTTACCTGCTATTACTTCACATTTGATATGTCTCATCTTAAAATTCTAGTCTTTTCACTGACTCCTGAATTAGGAATATATTCATCTGAAGTTAGAGAGCTTAAAAGATTCAACCATTACGAAGAGAAATAAATTTGCTCAACTCCAAATTGTTTCTCAGAAAGGAAAAACAGGTTAATGATTGATAGTCTCTTGTCCTTACCACCTGCTGATCACAACATTTTCTCAGGAAAATCAAAAACAGCAGTTTGGTAATAAAGATCACCTGTGTGAGTCACAGACACAGCACAAGAAAGGGAATTATTTAATGCAYATTAGCACTTCTCTGTTTATTCAGAATGCATAATTTTTGCCCTAGGAAAGCCCCTAATGTCATTTTCATCAAGTAAGGATTTGGTTCAGTGACAGATTTTAAAATTAAGGAYGCACAATGCATTTCAGAGGCTTCATAGCACAGCTGCACATTTGGGAATAAGGTTAATGACAGAGTGAACTGGGAATACAGGGCCTGATTTTATCCAATTTCCATGGCACATGCTGGTGTTACTTTTTTTTTAAAAGCTTTATTTCAATGCAGATAAACTTAGTAAGTTATATTGTTTCCCTGAGGACTGTATGTAAGTATGAGATAATGCTTGATACAATTTAGGGAATGTTAAGGAAAAAAGCCTCCTAAAGCAACTGACAGAATTTTACTTGAAGGTAAGATTAAATAGCCTGATTTGGTAACTATTCCCAACCAAWAAATACACAAAAGTTTTCATCCTGGGTGTGGACAGTGCATACATTTTATACAGAACACTGTCACAAAATCATAGGTTGAAAGAACACCTTGTCAATCTGCTAATGAGTAGCAGTGATTCTAAGGAAAGTTTCAACAAATTTCCACATCTGCTTTTCTTCCTGAACACATGCTATGAAGTTTGTCAAAAAACTGATTAGTTGAAGCTTCCCCATTAGTAACTGAGATGCACAAAATGCACTTCCTTAGTGGATCAATCAAGTTTAGACCAAATTATGGGATTTCTAATTTAAAGATCAATGTACAAAACACCCAAGTTCTTCACATCTCCAATTACAAATATAAAGTGTCAGTCAATGAACCCCACATAGAYTCATACCTGCAAGGCAATGGCTAATCGAATGAGGTCAATAACCACTTCCTCATTGGCCAGTTCAATTGTGATAAGAGCTAGAGAAGTAAACAGCAGTTCAAAGTTTTTTTGGACATTGTCTTCTTCTTTGCAGCCCAAGTAGATGTGTCTGTACAACTGCTGACCATGCTATAAAAGACATAAAAGGGAAAATGGATATTAAATAATAGAATAATATAGGTTAGGAAGGATTTTTGAAGGTCTTCTTATCCAGCTCTCTACTCCAAACAGGGCCAACGTTGATGCTAGATCAATTTAGATAAAGAATTGGAAAAAATTATTAAAAAGGGTAAAATAGATGTATACATATACATACACAAGCAAGTATATGATTAATCAAGTTTCTAAAAATAGCTTCTTTATAAACACAGCACTGCTCTATTTTATGCAGAAATGTACAGATAGGTAAGATGATACAGAGAACTGCATGATAACTGCACAGTGTCAGATGTTAGAATTCATTTCCTGTTGAAATATAAAAAATTGTCCATTTATCAAAAAGAGAAATAAAAAAGTAATCTTGAAACGTTCTCCAGAACATTCAAGTAACTGATGAACTTCAAGTGTTATCCTTGCAAAGACATTAAGTTTGTTCATTAGGCAAGCCCTCTTGAACAGCAAAACCAAGAAAAAATTCTGCTAGAAGGTATTTCAGGTGAGYAGGGCTCATTTATCAATGTGTGTAGGGAGGCTGCAGCTCCAGTGAAGAATACAAGTAATTTAATGAAACTCTCCACTTCAAAAGTGRCTTTCTTCTCCTCATAACACCATGCCTAACCAAATCTCTGTAAAGAAACTATTATCTCAATATGGAAAAAAACCCCACAAGCACAAGAAATGTAAAATAAGCAGCAGGTGCTTCATGCAACACACAACTCAGTACCACCCCAGCATTTTTAATCTGTATGTGGGGGTCACTTTGAGCTGACACAGTTAATTTTCAAGATCTAAAAACTGACTCTGTCTCTASAAGTACTAACTGAGCTCTAGGAGGAAGAAAAGCTTTTTTTAACCTCTCTTTTTCAAACAGGACATATTTACTTAAGAAATAATAAAGACTATGTTGGTCTTTTCATTACTTCTAAAATCAAATAGTTGCTCAAATACACACTGTATTTAGAAAAAGAGAGAAACAGATCTATTAGCAAAGCAAAGAAGCTACTTTGAAGTAAGCAAAGGTTAGCTGCTTAAAGACCCAGTATATTTGGAAAATAAAAGTAATGAATTTTTTTATCCCACTGATAAAGAATTGCACTTAAATAGGAAAACAAATGATTAACTGGATTTTCTCAATATATGTCTTTCTACTAGACCAGAAAATGCAAGAAGTTAAATATTTCCCTTCAAAGAAAGGATAGAAATAAACTGAGAMAGTGGTCTGAGAAGCAGAGTTTTGTGGTTATGTCTGGTTCCATTCCACCTGGGTACGATAYACAATTGCCTCAGAATCCTCCTATAATATCAAGTAAGCCTAAATGGTCGTACAGATCTTAATGGACTTCTGGAGATGCCTTATCCCTTTCCTTTGATTATGCAAAAAATCTGGGAAGAGCAGGCTGCTAACACGTACATCTACACCAAGTGAGTAACATTGCATTTATGACATATGTGCACCTGAAACAATATCACACAGATAATCAATGAATTACTTAATTTCATTTTTTAGCCTCTATCATCTTTTCTTGACCTGTGAAGGTCCTTGACCTTTCCTCTTCTGCCTTTGTCAGTTCAGTAGTAACAATTCAAATACTTAGCCTACAACTTTCATCTAGCAAAATCAGTAAATRCATCTTACCCAAACTGCTTTAAATCATATTAAATTAATGAACTRAAATTTAATTAATTTTTTTAAGCCACATTACTAATAATTGCCAATGTTGGAATATTTTAAAAAATTGTATTATTCTAGTTGTATATGTACTGGAAAGAATATTAACKGGACTAACTTAGAAAGAATATTTATCTTGCATGTTACTTGAATCTGTACAACTCTAGTTTGCATATTATTACATACGCAGCATTTTTGCCTATTTCAGTAATTCCTGGATTTTGTTTACAAACATACCTCCACAGATAAACTACAGTCAGGAATGACAGAGCACAGTAATAGATTTATGCATTTTTCCCACATAAAAACCAAGGTGCTTACTGTAAGTAATTTCACTGCWTGTAGGTATCATCTAAAAAACTCCTATTTTTCTTTAGAACCAAATATACTCAGCACTCATCTGGTACAAAGTCCTGTGAAAACCATCTTTTARGAAGATGGATTTTTCTTGCAAAGTGAACTTTCTTTGACACCTTTACCTAAAAAAAAGCCAACATAACACAGCTATAAAACGATTTCTAAATACAAAATTGTCTAAAAATACAGCAAAATAAAAGCCTCACAAGTAATAAACTACTACTGAGTAAAAATTAAATGCTGCTCAAGAATCTAACTACAGGAAGGTCTTTTCAGAATCATGGYTTACACATAGGCTGTTGTAATGTCATAAATATAAGGGTTTTAACTGAAGACATAAATTAAAATTTTATTGCATGGAATCATCTTCCAAGTATCTAGAGCACTTCAACACTGAAATCACTGTAATTTGATTACAATAATTTGAAACTGGTCTTTGTGACTTGTCGCAAAACCACAGCTGCAGAAGAAAAGCAAAACCACGGGTTCAGTTACTTTATCTTATTTCTAGATAGAAAACTGATGTTTCATTCTATTACCTTTTTCATGAAGCTTACATCTTGCCTTGAAATCTTGTCTCGTTTTATCTTTAGATCAGAAACATCTGGTATTATTCTACAAATGAAAGAAATATGTTGTTTTAGCAAAAAAACAAGAAGTTGGAAAGGAAGAGAATGTGAAATACAAGAACWATTCAAACAGATCTTGACCCAATTCCCATTTTAATTATACCCATGCTTAACAAYGATATTCAGATTTCAGTTGAAGAGGGAGAACCAGAAAGAGAATTATGACGATCACATATTTTTTATCTACATAYAGTAAGATATTCTGTCTTTCACAGCTAAACTAGCAGATATTTGTAATGGTCATTTAAGGTACTGTGCTCTGAGGCTTACCTGTAAAACACTTGCCATCAATAAATGACACTGAACACTGTGCATTTACCAAAACAGCACATTAGTAATTCATATTACCAAAAAAGTTTAAAAATCAACAATACTTTTCATTCACGTAATGAACTGGAATTTCAAGTAGGCCAAAAAATAAARAGCACTACCTTATCCCTCTGAGCTTGGCTCTGTTGTCATGTCGATCAATGAGGTTGTGCAGGATTTCCAGGACCAGCTGCCTCAGCTCAGAGTCTTCCATGAGGGAAGGAGACAGCAACGGGTCCAGAAAGGTGCCAGGAAGTGCATTACTTATTGTTGTGGCTTTGTATCCTGAAGTCACCTGTTCAGTGTTGGAAGCAAAATTAATGTGTGTCATTAYTGCATTATAAGAATTAATTGCAGCTGTCACTCACTTTTTAGTGAGATTGCTTTAGTAACTGCAGTGTGGAATCAAACTGAAGTACTGCATTAATTTTGAAAATTTCTGGCTTCAGTATGAATTTGGAAGGACTTAAGCACACATTTTCAAAAACTCCCTCATATTACACRCACTGTTCAGGATCCTTTCTTTACAAACACACCCAGATTACAAACATAAAGGTATAATTTATGATTTTTTTTTTTTTAATATGACCAAAAAGTTGCAGGGCATAAAATGAAGATGCTAGTAATTCCAGTAGATAGTATTTACAATAGAGATTTTTTCATTTCAGATTATGAGCTGCTCACATACGGTAAAGTAAGCTCACGTGAAATAAAAAATGAGAAATCAGAGCCTATATGTACACCTTAAACATTTACTGATACTATCTCATTGTAAAATAGGAAATAAGCAGCAAATATCACTTTCATAGAAATCTGGTACCATAGTGTTATTTTTGCTTTTTTAAAAAATTAATACTACCTCTGTCTCATTAAATTACTTTCAATTAGAGTAAACTCTGTAGGTACATAGAAAAGGTAAACTTCTACCTGACAATTCAAATATTAATTAGCTAAACATTTACAGCAATCAGAAATATTTAAAATTTACCATCCCTTAAAATGGAGGYCACCAGAATATTACAATCTCAAAACCAAAATGGATTCAGAAAATGTTGAGGATGAGGGTAGAAATATTATTCAAAATTTAATTRTAATAAATGCAGTAATACTTTGATCTAAGACTTACACAATAATTGTATCTTCTTTATATGTATTCCATACCCTTACAGCTTTTACGTGTGAACTATGTAGTATTTGGTTTTGTCTGGGATTGTTCGTTTTCTTTATAATAGCACTTATGCTGCTCTGTTCTGGATTTATGAGCAAACTAGTGCTGATAACACAAGGATGATTTAGTTCCTGCTGAGCAGGGCTTAYACACTTCCAGAAGGATATCCCATTCTAAAATATGTCATGAGCAAAACAGAACAGGAGGCAGCTGTTGAGGGCTGCCATGGCTCAGGGACTGGYGGGGTATCAGCTGGCTTGTAGTGAGCAACTGTATTTTAGGTGGGGGTTTGGTTTTATTTTACTATTACTTCTTTTTCTTGTTTCTTGGTTTTGTTTGTCTTGGTTTCCTTTTCTTACTTACTAAACTGTCTTTATCTCAAGCCACTTTTCTCACTGATACTGCCCTGCTTCTCTCCCCCATCCCCCTGGAGCAGAGTGAGTGAGTGACTGGGTGGTCCCTGGTGCCCCTGTGTTAAACCACRAAGCTGAGTGAGCACAGTGCCTACAGCTTATCTGAGGGGGCTCCAAGGGATGTGGCTGGCACAGGGCACCAAGGGACAGGAAGGTATCWGATCAATCATTCTGAAAATGGAATGACTCATATTACAAGCAGCAAGACTGAAAATCTAAGTGCACACTTTTAATGAAGTGCCAGATTTCAACTGCCTATACAACATTAACTTGTCTGCCTGTGTGTATGCATGACAGACTAATTATGTTATGAAATACTATTCTTCTGCAAAGAATACATGATGTACAATGATTAATTTTTCCACAATATTTATCTATGAGTAATTCATTAAGCATCAGAACAGTGACTTTCACACCTTTGTGCCAYGATGGGATTTTACTTCCACATTCTAAAATAGGAACCAAAATTCAGTGTTCAAAATGTTAAACCATTTGACTCCCTTAAAGCATAATTACAGGCTATGCAGTACCTGAAATCAGCAGAACAATTCTTACCTACTTMAATGAAATTTCAAGACTGGTGAGATGAATATTGTCAGGAAAAGTTTAGACATATCAGAGTCTAATGTTAGTCTYCATGTTTAATAAAGACTATGTGAAAAATGACCACCTGTCCTAGGGTAGTTGAGTATTCCTATCATCTGCTYATGTTAGAGAAAAGATAAATCAGGACCTTTCTAACACATTTTGGATCCTTAAATTGCAACTGTGAATGCCCAGCTCTTTGGCAAACCAGARTCTGAGATTTCAGATTTGGAGAAGCAAAGAATGGTTTAACCTACTTGCCTAACATTGCCCCCAAGTTTCAGGTCAAAGCAGGGATAGAAACTCATTCTTCTGCTTTAGTTATGGAATTATTCTTTATGCCATTTCCCCTATTTGAGTTACTAAACAGTCTTCAGCTTATGCAACGAAACAGGCCAGGATTCTACTGGCACGAGCCTCCTTTACTACCCACATTCTGATTCTTACCATCTGGGTCCATTTCCAGAAATACTCTTTGAAGGTTTAGAATTGAAAAATATATTTGTGATAAAAAATTCAATCACACCTTACAAGAAACTTGGGAAACATTAGGAAGGAAAGAACAACAGTGTCTGAGGCTCTAATTGCTTGGAKACAGGCATCCATTCCTATAGTTTTAAAAATATTGGCCATTCTACTAATTATCACTTTTCCAGGCTCAGAGATAAAAGTGATTTTACTTTGATGTTGCCAATATTGCTGGCAGAACTCAACCTACTCTATGATGTTCTTTTGGATATGCAGATCCAATTAAAACTGACRTTCACWAAAAGACTCTATGAGATGGAAACTTATTTCTTGTGCTSTTTGTAATGTAAATTGGGAAAATGCTTTCACGATTTTACACAATGGAATTACAGGTCTATGCAATATGAATGTATATTTATTTTCATAATCTAGACTTGCTATACTACGCTTTTACATGWAAACATATAACTAAAATGAAACACTGTGTGTTTATAACATAGCATACCAATCACAGAAGGCTTACCATAAGTAATGATCTCAGTAACATAATTTGAATCCTCCTGGTTCCCAAATCACTATAATTGGAAACAAAAAAGTTGCCTATTAGGTTTTTCTGCATATCTCTGAAACATTATTCTACTCTAGACATAATCTCATTTTTCCCAAGTAAACACAGCAGTCCTGGAAGGGATGCTGGATTATCATAGATAAAGAGAAAACTGAGATGCAATAACTAAAAGTTTCTGAAAGACACATTTATAGGAAAGATTAAAAAACAGAGCCATGCAATTGAARAAAACAGTAAATTGTATATGTAACATACATCAACGACTACAAACAAACTTCTTCTGGATTAAAATGCAATTGAGTCTTTTAGGAAACAAGGACAGTTGTTTAAGTCAGACTCCAAAACTTTCACACTGGAAAAAAGTTATCTGCCAAATCAGTACGAAAAGCTGAAAGATTACTCAGTTTTCCTATCACAGGAAGGTACATGGAATACTACTTGACCTGTTCTTCATCTGTTTTCATTTCCCTTCTGCTGGTACTGAAAGTAGCCAATAGCTAACAGTATATGGTCACTATTCTTTCACGACTTCACGAGATAAAAGTGCACTTGGAATAAATTGCTCCATTAAAAGAGACTGTTTCAGGAAAGTAAAAAATGTACAAGCCATTTTGTCCAATAAAGAAAGAGCAAAAGAGCAATCCTCTTCACAGAAGTTGGCCCCACATAACAGTGGAAACTTCTACCTTAATGGGCTATCCTGGCTGCTCTACCATTCAAATGTCTTGGGTAGCTAGAAACAAAATTTCAAGTAATGCAAGACTTTACCAGCAGCCAGAAMCCCTTCTTTGTTCAGAGTAACATATGCACATCATACTATCACACTGCTCAGGCACATGTTTACACAGAATCCCATAAAACTGTACAGCTAAAAAATAAAAAAACACCACCCACCCCCAACTGTTAATCCAAGTAGAGAATTTCATATGCATTCATACTTCAAATACCTTCATAATGAGTGACCACTGCCTGGCACAGACAGATTTGCATCTTCCATGGAATAGCATCCCATGCTGCAGGGATACTGTATGAAAAGCTACCAAGAAGCTGGATTTTCTACTTAATCTACTAGGGGATCATTTATGTGGTGCAAAGTATACATGAACATCTGGAAAGAACAGCTGCAACCTTTTCAGTGACTTCCCCATTCTGAGGAAATATTTTTTAAACAAAATAATTCATGTTACAGGGAAAAGTATTCAGTGTAGGGTGACGTTTTATGTGTTTATTACAGAAGTCTGCCCACCTATAGCTTTTTTCTGTTTCTAAATACATATGGAAAATTTAACACTCACTGGAATTTTTGCAGTTTATTTCTTAATCTGGAGTCAACTTGTACAGAATGAAAAAAAMCCCAAAACCTCTTCTTAAAAGCACTTTGTAAATTATGTAGCTATTTCAAAAAATGTATTTATAGTTCAATGTCTCTCATTCCCAAAATACACATATAAATATTTACAGAATTAACCACAATTTAGTCATAATTTCAGAAAGATTTGTACAGATGCAGAGAGAAAAATGTGGTAGTGCAAAGTAATTTTCTATCAGGAACACGTCTGTAGGCTGATTTCATACTGCTGACACTATGCTTCTTTATATTATTTAATACAGCCCCGAAGGAGTGATAATTTGCATTTCACTTTTCCTAATGTTTTTTAGTTCTTATAACAGGATTCTAAAATCTAAATTTTTAATTAGAAACTTAAAAATGTAGGATATACAAACCCAAGGTGATTGGGATCCAGTGAYTGTGAAGTTGACCCCAAAACAGGTACTTTGGTCATAATGAACATCATAATCTCTGCTCTCTGGTAATCTGGGAGATTGCTTCCAAAAAATCCTAAATAAAAACAGAACAAAATCACCGAARGAAAGAGATATGGGGCCATTCTCTTTATAAAATAAGCCTTATAAATACAAGGAGTATATTAACAAGGTCAAAATATATGAAGAATAAAACTATGATRTGTTTTAGGGCATTATCTCATGTTTATTTCTGTCGAATTATTTTAGAGAGCCTTTTCATGATACTCACTTTCACCTTTGAAACCTTAAGCCTCATTTTTCCTCCTCTAAATACAGCATTTAAAAATTAAATATCGGTCATCTATTAATTTGTACCTAGTGAGGAGCTGAAAGTGTTTCTCATGGCACAAGTAACAGTGCTGTTACTTTTACCTGTTAAATCTCTATTAAATATTACAAGTGAAGGAACAGAAATCCTAGAGACATCCAAGTATTTTATGACTATTGCTGCTCTTGGGGAGCGAAGTGATCAGCTCCTGTGCCAGCACCACAGGAAGCAGAATGCCTGGGGCACAGGGAGGTTCCTGGACCAGGGAACCTCAGAGCAGAAAGAGCCAATGGATGACAGAACCTGGCTGGGCCAGGAGAAACACCAGGCACAGACTCCCTCCCCTGCCTTGAAGGAATCCCTTAGGGAGTGCTAGCAGCAGCTGGCAGGCAGGAAAGGCACCACACCTCTGCCAGTTTGACCACGAAGAAATGGTTTCCACTCACAGAAGACCCTGTCCTCTCTCAGCTCTGAACCCACCACAACTGAAGAAGCTGCTCGGACACAGCTCCAATGGGAACAGCTGCCATTCTAGGGCCAGCTGCAGGCTGGGCCCTGCTCTTGTGGCAGCACAGTGGGCACATCTTGGGACTGCACCCAGGGAGGGGAACGGAGATAACACTGCTATCTGTGATAATATGGAACTGGTAACATGGGACATACATTCCTCATGGAAAGAGACTAGGGGGTTGGGTTAATGGCAAGTAAATCCACTGTCAATCAAGTGTGCCCTGGTAGCCAAAGGGCAACTGTGCCCTGTGGTCCACCAAGAACAGCATCAGCACCTGCTTGARGAGGTGACTGTGCCATCTACACTGCACTGCTGCAGCCCCTCCTCAAGCCCATGTTTTGGGTGCCTCAATCTGAGAACATCAAGGGGGRCAGAAAAAGGGGAAGTCTGATCTCTCTCAGGTGACCACAAGCAAATGGAATGAAGTTGCACCAGGGGAAGTTTAAACAGGACATTAGGAAAAGGTTCCTCCCTGAAAGGGTGGTTGGTCAATGGAATAGGCTCCCCAGGGAAATGGTCACAGCACCAAGCCCGAAAGAGTTCATGCAGCAGCTGGACAATGATCTCAGATACATGGTTTAGTTGAAGCAGTCCTGGGAGGAGCAGAGAGTTGGATTCAATGACCCTTATGCATCCCTTCCAACTCCAGATATTTTATTACTGTGCAACAGCGTAATGTTAACTTTGATAGAAAGAAGCTCCACTTTAGAAGATTGGGTTGTGGAGTTTCTAGGATTTTTTGGCAGGGGGGAATTTAACATTTTAAYTTGGGAGCTTTACTACAATGGTGTGAAATGATCTACTACATACTTCTTACTGTTCTAGAAATCTTCAAGGCATAAGCAAAGGTACAGATTATTTAAGTTACATTCCTCCTTGTTCTTTAAGAAAGGAATACATATCATAAATGCATCACAATATATGTCACTACCACAAAGAGAAAATCTGAGAGAAGGGGAGACACTATTTTAAGAAAACTATTTACAGAATTTGGTGCTCCCATTTTTAGTGCTGTGCATTGAAGTACTTCAGTTAAGTCATGGTAGCACAACTGGCCATTAGGTGTCATTGTTGCTACTATGTTTAACATTAATTTCTCTACAATTTAAAGTAGAACCTGCTAAAATGCGTATTATTGTATATGACTGATTGCAATGATTTTCATAAAAGGGCTAATTTTAGTTGTGTACCAAAGGTAGAGATTTCTACATTTCAAGGGCCACATAATTATTAAATTATTTTTAAGTCCACCAGTATTTTTAACWTTCATAAGCTTCTTGGCTATGTGCTCAGTTAACACTTAAAAGAAGAACCTTTCAGAAATCAAACACATAAAGCAAGCCTGCAAATGACAGGCTCAGTCAGAGATACTGCACTTGGTAGTATTCCTCGATTTTTCAAGCTGGTCCAACATCATGTCATTGGGGAAGGGGGAAAAGGGGAGGAATTTTAAGTGAGCCTCTGTCATTGTATCACTCACCAATTGTTTGAATAATTGCATTCTGGACAATCCTCTCGTCACTCTCCTTGGAGCTTGTGCTCAAAGTGGCACTTCCTGCTGAACTGCGCCTGTCACCCAGCTCAAATTCAACGCTGATGCGTAAGTGCTTCAGCAAGGTATTAAAAACCTCCAGAACTGTTGGGCCTGGAAACAACAAATAACAGTGATTGCACCAGTCAAGGGAAAGATGCCTTAAGAAAATGAAAACAGGGCTTTTCAATCCCTTTTCACAAGAAATGAGAGTAGGATGAAAAAAAACCAAGYGAAATTGAGTGTTTGAGGCATGAGGACAAGGGATAAACTTTTGAAGTGCGTCTATACCTTGGTATTTTAGAAATGAACTTGGAATCAGGAAACACAATCAGATATGTATGCATAATCCAYTACTGGGTCTGGCAAGGATGGAGGTAATTGGTTTTTCTCTGTACAAGCAGCTTTTGCTCTGCCCATTGAATTATYTTTATCTTGAGCCATGAGACCTCTCACCTTCCTTCTACACTGTCCCTGTCCTGTGGGAAAGGGGAGTGAAAAGCCCAGAGTCAACCCACCACGCAAGTTTCAGATAGAAAATAGGAGTGGTTGCTGAAATTAAGCATCAATAATGGGCTGAACTGCAAATGCTTGCCACATTGGATCAAATAATGAACTCTTCATCATATGGTAAAAGATTTCACAAGTCTGTGCATACAAGTGGTTCTCATACAAAGAGAAAGGTCAGGCACAAGCTCAAGCTAATGAAGCAAAGCAATATTTCAACAAAACACAGCAACAACACAGCATATGTGTGTACATATCTTTGCAATTACTCTTATTTCAAGGAACTATCTGAAACTAAAATGACATATTTCACCTTATTTCACCTGCTTCAGAGTCAATAAGGTAAAATTTCTCCAAGATCATTCTACTCGACTCCCACATTGCCACTCAGGTCATAGCAGCTGTACCATAAAGTGACAGTGYTCTTGACATTCTGCAGTCACACACAGTTTCTCTCAGACTTTGTCATTTTTTTCCAAACAGGAATTTCTGCCTTTCACAATTTTTTCACTCGTTTTTTCAATTCAAAGGATTATATAACMGCCAAACAACCATTAAGTACATTTGGGGCAATCATAAACCAAGTAAGATTTCAAGCATTTTATAAGCAAAAGGGAGAAAAAATTAATAAGTACAAAACCCTTTCAAAATACAAGCTACCAGTCAGTCTGAAACCAAAGTGAAAATGAGATCACCCTGTAAATCTATCCTTTGAACGGATGCCTTTAATTTAACACAACTTACCTATTGATCCTTTAGCTGCTATTGCAACTGCTTCCAGAAGAACCTGAATAATACCAGCACGGACTCGAGGTGAATCCCTTTTCCGGACATCAAGGTGTCCAAGAATTTCTTGTATTACATGATGGGAATATTGTGCCTACAAAAAAGAGACAGAAGATCTTCATTGGTGACTTTAATAAGAATAAACTCCTTCACCACTCAACTATGGTCATGACCACGTTCCCATTCTGCAACACTTTTATTTAAAAATTTACCAAAATTTCAATTAATGTTCATAACTAAATACAGATTCAAAAAACTGCCATGACAGATGAAGCTACACAGGTTCATGCAGCCCAGTATACAAAATAGAGTTTTCAAATATCCAGGAACATCTACAGGCACAGAAGAAGCCTGAAGTGGTTCTTCATTCAGCCAACTGCAGTTCAAGGACTTCAGCACCATTGACACAAAAGCTGAGTAAACGCAGCTTTATTTTCACAAGCCTGCAATCTTACACTGTTATATTTTGGGTGTCTGTGGTTGATGCAATCAAAGAATCATACCTTGATGTTTATAACAGACAATCAGAGTCACAGAATGGTTTGAGTTGTGAGGGACCTTAAAGACCATCTCATTCCAAGCCCCCACCATGGGCAGGGATACCTTCAACTAGACCAGGCTGCTCAAAGCTCCATCCAATATGACCTTAAACACTTTCAGAAATGGGGTATCCACAGCTTCTCTGGGCAATGTGTTCCAGCACCTCACTACTCTCCTGGTAAAAAATTTCTTCCTAATATCCAATACCCACCTTCCCTCCTTCAGCTTAAGACTGATCACTATAAAAAAATCCTCAGCATAACACAGCTGCATGTGAAGGTGGTTTATTGGGCTGGAAAAGCAGCACTGCTGCATTGGCACAAAGAAATAACCAACTCCAGAGAATTCTTTGTCAAGCACAATGTCAGACCAGCATGGTTACCCTAACCCTTGTTCTGGAGCTGAAGGACCACCCCACTACCTTCCACTGGATCTTTTAGATTCTTTGACTTTATCTATTGTCCACCACCAGCATGGTGATTTAAAACTCTCTCCTGTGCTTGAAGATATATGCAAGGGAAAAAAAGCAGGAGAAAATCCTACCTGTATAGAATACATGATGATTTTAAAGCAGGAAACAGCAAATTCATTAGGATCCCACAGTCTGTGATGGTCTAAATGCCTGTAAGCAAAAATTAAGAGACCTGAAATAATGACATTCCACCGATATAACAAATGGTATCTTAAAGAGTTTTCTCAAAATTAAACTCAAAGGGATCATTTACTTACATATATATATATGTATATATATGTGTGTATATATATATATATATATATATAAATATATATATATAAAATTTATTTATATATATGTTATTATTTACTTATATATAAAACTTCTAAACAATGATCTATGAACTAGGTGAGAAATTTAGAACTGCAGAAAAGCATTTGTTTTCAAGATTCAGGATGTGATCATAAAACATTTGGCTGAAACAGAAATTCCTGATTTTCTAGTTCCAGAAACTTAAGGAACCTAGTTACACCGAAGATATACAGTTAAAAACATACTGTTTCCACCCAAAGTGCTGTGACATTAGATGCTTATTTACATGAAAGGGATCTGCTGAACTGGACTGTTTTAACACCTTGACAAACTTCTAGTCTACCAAAGATAAATAAGTTSTTTTGAATTACAAGCTGCACAATAATTAGGGCTGACTGTTCCATCCTGAATGGAAACTCTATGAACTATTTTTGTTTTCATGGTGATTTCATAAATAAAATATATGGAAAACAAAAAAGAGCTACTCTTTATGCATACATGCCTTTACATTCTGAAGCATTTCAACACTTTCTGCAAGAAATATCAAAACAAAATCCAAATAATAAATGCATCAGTTCCTCTTTAAATGGGATGGGAACCATAAATGAAAGAAATTTTGTCAGAGTTTCAAGCAAATAAAAAATTCTGCTTAAGCAGAAATGTTGAAAGCCATGAATAGGGCACACAATTTTTTTGCWAAAGAGATTTGAGTCCCCAGAAAAGCATTACAAAAATTACTGCATTTTTCAATTACTGCATTTGAAGAATGAAGAAAAGGTAATTTTAGATTAATTTAAATTGGTAGGATTTAAGTTTTAAAAAAATCAAAACAAACCCAGGAAGAGATTCATCAATAGCAAGCATGCCAAACCAACAAAAAAACTTTGTAACAGAAACTGAATTTAGGTTGTGTTCCTAACCAAATATCTCAGCTACTGCTTTCCCTTTTCTCAAAGAATTTAGGAAATRCATAAAGATGCTTGAAACAGCAAACTTGAAATATCTGCAGGTGAAAGAAGTCAGCATTCTGAACACAGGAGGACTGGCTGGATGTTTTCATTTACTCTGCCTAGAATCTGGAGATCTCYGTTCACTCATTGGGCAGCTGCTCCCAGCCCAGTGACCATCTGAGTACCCAGGTCTCCTTCACAGTTGATTAAATCAGATGACACCAAGTATCTCCTGTGCCCTGAATTATCTTGCAGTCCAYCACAGAGCTTAAAAAAAATCCTGCCTTGGGTTAGAAAACCAAACAAAATTACCTCTTTAAATCCTTCAAGGCTTAGTGGCTCATAATGTATTTATTCAGGTCATTTTCCTCCCTTCATATCATTCCAATACAGTCCATCATATCTATCCTGTACACGATAGCTTATTTTAGCTAACCTATTTYATTTGTCTCATCAAACAGAAGATCATACTCTCCACTGTATTCTCCTGATTGGAACTGATCCTTTAATCTTTCAGAGCAGCATGTGTTCTCTGTYACCCTTGACAGCTCCTATTTATCTGCCCCAAAGATCCATTCAGGCAGATTATGGTCAACCACATCTCATATCATGTTAAAAAAAAACAAAAAAACCCCATCTCATTCCTGTCTAAACAAGACATATACTTTTCTTTTTCTGGAAAGGCCAAGTATTAGCTGCTTCAGGGTGATGAACTGATGGGAAGACAGCAGGGGGAAGATGATAGCCCAGGTTAAAGCTTTGTGTAACATCTCAACAGGCAGCATACTTTGTATACTGGAATTTTCCTCCTAAGGACAGCAGCATTAGATTCCTGTAGGCAATATATTTTACTGTTCATAACAAGTATATTCAATGTATTTATTGCAAAATACAGTAAAGGATATTTTCATTATGGTGCATTTACCTCAGTAAAAATCAAGTCACACCTTAACTCCTTTTTTTTTTAGATTAGCAGATTTCAAATTATATTTATTTTAATAAAGAATATCTAATGAAGATTGCAAAATGGTTTTTTTCTGGATTAACAAATRCCAAACTCTGCCATCCACTGAGATCTGATGCATATATATAGCAAATGTGCACAATTAGGTTTCTCTATCTAAAAGGAATATCAGAACCAATGATGCAAATTTCTGGAGAGAAAAGCCACTAATGATCTTCTGTCCCAGGGTCACACATGCAAACAATCCTTATAGCACAAGATGGTAAATTGATACAGAGGATTAGAAAGCATAACTGAGGCGTGTATGTGTGAGAATATATAAAATACATTCATTACAAGTTATTATTTGAGAGTTTCTAGCTACTACATGTAGACAYATAACCATGGAGATTTTCTGCCAAAGGCAAGGAGAATAAATGTCAGTCCAAACCTATACTCAGGGACCAACTTCAGATTTCTACTATCTTAAYTTTGTTTAAATCCCTCAATCACTGAATGCACCCTGCCTCATGATGCAAGCAGCACTACTCTCTCAGTTTTGCAAWGAAGTGACAGCATGTTGCCTGATATTCCAATACAACATGAAGCAAGCCTTTAAGTGGGGAACTGATCCTGAACCTTTATGATAGTATAGTAATAAGATGCCTTATCTATATTTCCAGACATTCCTTAAAAGCCGTGAAATAGCTGCACATTGCTAGGAGAAACTATTTTCTAATCATCAGCTACATCATGCTTTTCAATCTGATAGAGTGCAACAGACTCCCTGTCTCAAATGTTCATTCTAACTGTTCTCCTCACTCACAAAGTGAAGCTGATTAGATAGAGCACTCCCGTTTTGTTTAGGAAAAACAGCTTGAAATTGCATTTTGTGCACCTCTTGCTCTTCAAAAATACCAAACCTTTACAGTCATTTCTAAAAAGACACATTTGGCAATTCTCCCTCAAAGTGGAACACAAAAATGGCGACTATAAAGACTGTTCATAGGAGATAATATATTCTGAGTAACTGGTCATTATCTACTCATTTTAGTGCATAAACGCTGCATGTGGCACGTTGAGGTGCACACAAAGTTAACTGTTTCCTTACAGTCAAAGTAAGTAAGAAATGAAAATAGCCTGGAAATAATACTTTAGATACTTAGGCTTTAGATCTGCCACRGGAAAAGCAGGTATGACACCCTCCCAAACCAAGCACTAACTCTAGTCTCGAGAATAAGGAATTATTTGTAGAAAATCTTCCTGATACTAAAATGATTCAAAAAACTGAAGTGACTGCAAATGACAGTTTTGAGATAAACCAAAAAAAAAATTAAGAAGTGGTAAGAAAGCAGCTGCAGTATAGTACCAAGTAGTCCMTCCAGACTGTTTAGCACCTTGGTGTTCACTCTGAACACAGGTATATTGGAGGTATGCACATTTTAAATCTAGGAAAGAATGAGCATTTTTTAATAAAACACTCACCTTTGCAACAGAATCTCCTATCTGGTTGGTATAATACAGAAAGTAGGGGAATGGTACATCTCCTTGTAGTTAGTGCTTTGTCAGGCTAAACAAGGGTCTACAAAAGTTTTCTACCTTCAATACCAACCCCATCTTGTTTTACAATTTTTGTTCTTAACACTAATAATTTTAAAATCGCTTTTGGTAGCTTGYAGATTTTTCAGTGTATAAATAAACTACTTAATTGTGGTGGGAAGAACTAGGCCATCTAAGAGAACATATTTGTGTAACTGGGAAGTATCTTGAAAAAAATCTACAGCAAGAAGCTAGCAGCTCTMCTCCTCACCAGGAAAAGCCAAGGTTTGAAAGTGGTATCTTTAAGTATTACCACATCAGGCATAATTTGTACTGTGTGTGTTTATGTATAATGTGCATACTGTGTGCTTATCTGCCAGTCACTATTAAATGAGCTYTTAAAGATACTCCTCACAGAATATTGAAACAGGTCCTGGAAGAAAATGGCAGGAAAATATAAACTGTARCTTTATGGGGCAGGGTATTCCTTTGTGCTACGTGTATTTTACTTGATTTGTCTCTCCACAGGATTGTAACACTCATCTTTGGAATATTAATAGCTTGGATCAAGTTTCACATTGGAAAAAAAAGAAGCCAGCTGAAGTAACAACTCGTCTAAATTATCCTATTTCACTTCTCAAATCAGTAAAGCAGGAMAGGTATTCCTTCATAACTGCTTTAAGGTAAGAGACAGGTAACAAAGTGGTGAGATTAAAAGGGGCAATTTTTTAAAGAAATGTGAATGGAAACCTTTGGGTTGAAAATGAATTTAATGCAGCAGAATTAAGGAGAAGAAATAAASAAAATGTCTTAAAATCTTCCATGAATTTTCAACTTACGCAAAAACTGGTCTGACAGCATTATTCATATTTCCATAGGTTGCTCGTCCCAGGAGTTCCCTGAAACAATTCTCAGCCAGAACAGAAGGATTTTCTTCTTTCTCTCTTCCTGGAGGAGAGGACGGCGGGCCTATTCTGCTGAAATAAGACAAAATACATTGATTATGTTACTGACTAATATCCACCTTTCTTACTGTTCCCATTCTTGGTGCTACAATGTTCATGAGTCACACTCTTGATTAGGCAAGAACTGTATTTCAAATATGCATCAAGCCATAATTCTGAATAAAATATTCTGTTGTCATATAGCAGGACGACAGATCATAATCTGTTCACTCAGTACTGACCACTGTATTAGTAATTATTTATATGGCAAACACAAAAGCTGCTAATACTCAACTTGCTACCCACCACATTTTGACAAACCACGATGTGTTGCTACTGAATGAATAAAGGCTGTGAAAACATGAAAAAGTTAAACAGAATCTTAATAATATCTAAGAYTGTAATTGTTCAGATTAATGACCTCATTCACCTGCCCACTACTGAGTCATGTGGGTGAGCATTAAACTAAATTCCAATATTTCTGCACAAACAGATGGCTTGTGAGTTGAAAAAAAGAGTCTGAGTGAAACAATTATCACCCACATAGCTTCCTCTAAATAGACAGTGTAGTAGCTGGTCACCTCACTGAGGTTTTCCATTACTACCATGGACAGGGCACTCCTGAGCCCCTTGCCATGGGCACCAGGTGAGAACAGGTTTCAGAAAGAAAGCAAGCAGTTCCTCCTAGGACACCTCCATTACCTACCAAAAGCCATTGCACAGGTGGCAACCTTATTTTACTCTTCCTTTCACAAAACATGCTCTAGAAACTTAAGGAGGATTCAKTCACCTACATTAACATCGTAAATCTTTAATTTTAAGAAATAAGTACACAAAGTCCTTAAACATAATTTCAGTTCTGCAGTGCAAGCTTATGTGTTAAATATGTTTAAAAGTGTCCACCAAGAGCATCCAGTTAACTAYCATAAAACCAACTATAAAAAGTTGCAAATTGAAATATCACTAGAAATGAACATGCTAACATCATAGTTGTAATATATCTTCTGATTGCAAAAGATTTTCTAGTGTTTCAAAACTACTGAAATCTAAAACTGGCCATATGAAAATCCTGTTGCCCCTGGCAATATCAGTGTTTCAAGTGTTACCATAACAATGCTAGCTTGTCAAATTTTAATAACAGATGAGCCTCAGGAACCCTGTTAGAGAAGTAAGGAGAAACACTTTTACAAATACAAACAGTTTTACAAGCGCAGTATGATTAGAACCTTAAAAGGCATGATAATCTGTATATAATCCACCACGAGTACCAYTAAACTCCAGCTTTACCCAACTGCTCTGCCACTCAATCTCCCTTTTYTTCCCTTCCCCTGCACTGCCTGGACTCTGATCTAGGAAAATGGGCACCCTTCTCAGAGAAGGTACTAGAGACATTGTAGRACTGTAATTTCCATTGCTCTTTTGACACAGATTCCCTAAAATACAGCAGCATTGCAAAGGTGGTTGTGTGGGGAGGAAAGAAGAAAGCAGGCTGCTGCATMGCACACAGAGCTGAGACTGTATGAAAGAAAACCAGTTAAAATGAAGTAAAAATAAATTATGTTTTATGTGCTTGCATATACAAACCTACAGAAGGTAACTCCTCAGTGCTGCTTGGAGTATTTTTTTAGATGAATCTCCTTAGTATAAAATGTTACTRTTTGCATCAGAATGCCCAAGATTATTTTGTGCTGTCTGTAGGAACAATATTTTATTTTGCATTTTAACAGAACCTCAAAGTATTCCTCACTAAGTGTTCCTTGGCATTACCAGATGAAAGACAGTGAATATTGAATACTCTCTAGTTTTGGAGGAAAGCTTTGTACAGCCTCTTAAGTTTCTAGGTTCAAATAAATAACTCATACTCATTTTRTTTCACTGACTTGGTTTTTACAGAAATATCAGAAAACCTCTGAGAAATACAGCTGCAACAGTTAAGAAAAAACCAGTGCTATTACTCTGCATCTAGACCTTTTGTACTATCACAAGAGGGCTGCAAATATGCTTTGCAATGAAATGGGCAAGCAAAACTCACTTAAGCTGCTCTACTAGCTTTTTTTGTGGGCAATTATCGATCAGAAGTGGCAACAAAGAACTGGAAGGAAGATGTGCTGAAGTACAGCAGTTTCCATCACAAACACCTAATCACAGACTTAAATTAGCTCAGAGCAAGTCAGCAACTTACGAATGAGATTTCTTTAATGCCACAAAACCAGAATTGGCCAAAAAATGTGACAGGACATGCAAAGTAAGACTTTAGCACTATTTTTGAGCAGAGTAGGTACAGGACTGTTTGACTACAATTCACTCACCCTGAAAAAAAGAAATCTAACCAAACTCTATAATACAATTTGCATGAACATTATAGATGTACCAGAAGGAGTTGAAGTCAAGTTTACAAGTGCTAGAGTGTCCTTCTGCCTAAAATAAGGCTGGCACGTTTAGCTCTGCAGTAATCATGAAGAATATATTACAAAGTAAGTGAAATGCCAATGTCGTACATTCCTTCCTTATGCTACAGATGTTTATAAATAGACCTGTACATCACATAATGTCTGATAGACACGTAACTAGAATGTGCACTCAGATACATGAACCAATAATGACATCCACAAATACAATTACCTTTTTCAAATGTATTTTAAATAGTAAATTTTTAACTCCAAGAGGTATCTCATCTGGTATGTACTCAAAAGAATCTTGAATTAAGCTATTAAGGTTCCACAAGTTAAAATTACACTGACTTTCAAAGTAAGCTTTACCTACATGTACTTCAGATTAAACCAAAAATGGTTTGTTTGTTTTTTTTTTTTCTATGACTTAGTTTGAGCATATTTTCTGGAATTTCTGCTCTTTCTCAAATAATGCTTTGATTCCATCTGCCAGAGCTATATGCTCTTACTCCTACTCTTCAAGATGTCTCTGTGTTTCACAAATATGAAGTCATACATAAAACAAAATGAGAAATTCTCTGTAACATCGTTTGAGACCAGCAGGTAACAATTTACAAATATTGTTTTCAGCCTTTCTGTCATAGGCCCACCCACCACAGAAGGTCCCTACTCACACTTGGAAAATCATTAGTCTTTTTTTTTTCATATTAAATGTGCAATACAGAACATGTTTCAACCATGACAGTTCAGAAATTTAAGMAGCAGTTACTTTTTGACAACCACTACTATTGCACTGTTCCACTGCTTTTTTCTGCCACTATTGCATTGTTCAGTAGATAACAAACATCACTGATCCACTTTAAGTGGTTAAACCAAATCCTACTTCAGTCAATTTTACCATAAATGGTTAATTTACTTTTGCTATAAAAAAGGAAGTGTACACCTGAAGGTACTGTAAAGAGTAACAAAGGAAAGGGCCCACCTGCAGCTAGAAGAGTAAGTAAAGAAGCTTGGCAAAAGTTTGCCCGTAAGAGTAAGTAATCAGCAGCTTCAGAAACATTTCTCTCTTACTCAGATCACTCTTCAGATGTAAAATTCAAGTGGAYTTTTCTGTACATATTGTGTGGGCCCTCAGTTATATGCAGTAAACAGATAAAGCATGGACAGACAGGCAACTATTGATTTTAATTACTCAGTCTGAAAATTTGCTTGAGATGAGACAGGTACTGACAGTTAGAAATAACAGAACAAAAATAAAGCTGAGGAATTGAAAAATAAATGTCACCAAAACTCAAACAAAAAAAGAGAAACAGATCTAGAGAGCTGAGTGAAAAGCTTGTTGTTATAGGAATGCTGCTGAGCCTCTTAGCAGGCAAGTTTTGAAGCAGCCAGAATCGKACATGGAATGAATATTTAATTTGCTTGCCAAAGTTGGTTTTATGGAAATTTCCCAGTGCTACAAATAAACAGTCTTTACACCTACATAATGTTTAACCATGGACTAAAAAAAAAGTGACTTTTCAACTATAAAGTGACTGGCATCTCCTCAGCCTTAATTGTCACAGAGATCTTCTTGAAGATCATTTTGCAGATATAGCAGGTAACATGCTTGGGAGTCACTGAAAGCAAAAATGAGAAGGGGGTCTACATATAAATAAAATTCTAATTCCTTACTTTAAGTACTGTTTCAGCCAGGACAAGCAGCTCTTACTWATGACTAAAGGAATCAAACCCTAAATTTTTAACAAAGCTAAGTAGCAAAATCGTTTGAGTCAYCTAAAAGCCTTTGCTTACTCATCTCTGCATCTGATCTGCTAAAACACAGTGTTTACAATTTTTATCAAGTCAAAATATGGATATATAATTTCTGAAGCAACTTTTAGGCCAACAGAAGACAAGAAACATTAAAAACCGTTATGCAGACCTATACTATCAATTTCAAGGAGCCTCAGCTAGTAAATGTGAGTTGTTGSTTCCACTAAAAAGAAAAGAAAAAGATACTCATCATAAAAGCTTAGCCTASAGATTGCTTTAAAAAACACACCAGTGACAAGGAATAAAATTACCTGTCAATATCTTCTATTTTCTGCATGTTGAACAGCAATGATGGCACTATYTTGTCCATGTGCTGAGGTTCCCATATAGTTGCTCGAAGTTCATCATTAACTGTTTTTCGAACCACTCCCTGAATGCCCCTGATTCCAGCAATTCGGATCCTGAGGAAGGAAGAGGAATTACTGAGGCCAAGAAGMACAGCACCTCCCAGTATGGCTCTGTGGGCAGCTGTAATTAAGTAGTGTGGAATTCCAGTAGGTTCTCACAAGCAGCAATYGGGAAAACTGGCCAATCATCAAGGTTGCCCATGTTTTCTTTGAACACCTTTAAATCCCGTAAGGAAGCTAACAAAACAAACAACTGAACAGAATATGGCCTGTAAGGATAAAGCTGACACTGAGCAATGAAGACTCAAACTCTGTGCATCACCTCTCTCTGACAAAAGTCACGTGGATAAAACTCACCAGCTCTACCCAATTTATCACCTATCAGCTGAAACTCTGCAATCTCAGCCTATTCCAGAGCTGAAGAAAAACGTGAATTTACCACAACACAGCTGAAGTATTACCTTGCACAGCCATGTGTTCATGTCTTCACAAGTTGTAATTAGGGCTATAGATTAATCAGGAAAGATCTTTAAAGATTTCTGAAAGATTCACAAAATGGAAAACAAAGGATAATTCTGTCAAYTTAAACCTAATGCACAAAAGGAACCACAACTTTTATTCTAAAACCATTTGAATAAAAACAACTGAGAACTAATCAATAACAATGAAATATTAAAAATAAAAGATAATAAATAAGTTTAAAAAACTTGGTCTAGCTGTTAGCTATTATCATTATTTTATTAAACAAAAATAGCTTGCAGAAGAATCTGTGCAATGAAGYAAATAGCAAAATATTACTTTTTGAAGTGATAATAGTAAATTATCCATTACAATAAATGGCAGGAAGAGAATTTACTTCCTGAGAACAAGTAGAAGGTACAAATCAAATAAGCACGAGCCTCACTAAAATTTTTTATTATTTCTATTAAAATCCATAGTTTTAAGATCTTGATTCAAATATGGAAAACATTTAACTAGCCCTTGCTCAGTCAAATTCGCTGAATGAAAACATTTCTAAGAAGAACTACAGAGGTAACGAAGTTCTAAAACAATTATTTTTGTTTAGATTTCAATTTGTAAATACCTGAATCTGTAGCTGCTTGTATTTTAGCTATTTCTGAAAAAAGTCTTGTGCAGATTCCATACAGATTCAATATCATTCCAGACCTTTTGAGATAGTTGCAACAGAATTACACACGAAGCAGGAAAGAGGGATGCACAATTAGAAAAGCTAATCCTGGGAACGACAAATCCTCCAGGGGGAGCCGCAGGAAAACAAACAGCAGCACTTAYGTAAGCAAAGGAAAAATTTGGAATTCTCATGCATGGACGCTCTTGAGCTTCACACACATGAGCATACTTCTGACATGTAACAAAACCAAGTTTTAACGAGTAATCCTCAAAGAGCAGACTTAAAATATTCTTTTGTTTTTCCTTTAAGTAGACCTATTCATATCTCAAATAAGTTATGAACTTGTGCATTTGCAGTAGTAAGCAGTGCCTTTCTGGAGAGAATCCTTGCAACCTTACAGGCATTATTCAGGTAAAATAAGTGAATATCTTAGAAGTTCTAGCTACCTAAGATTTGCAGTATTTGATGCTACTTAGAAGTCAGGCTGTCATTTTCTTCATATGGAATGAACTACTCACTAAAAGCCTAAAAAATAGAAGTTGTATTACATACAATATTAATGTGTCAACAGTTTTCAGTAATTGCTACAGAATGACACTTACTCATTTTGTATTTCTGGATCATGGTCACATGAGTGACACATGGCACTGAACCGGGACACAAAGAAGTCGTAGCGTCTGTGATAYGAAGGCGTGTCTTCTTCAATGTTGGCAAATTTGACAAACTAGAAAATGAAATACATTTAAAAACCTTTTAATAACCATTTCCAAAAATAGAACAATGAGTACTAAGCTTCACTTAACAAGTAACATAAAATATCTCCATTAAGTTAAGAACCCAATTTTTGAACCCAATGCTTTAGAACTCCAGAGAAGAAAAAATTGAATAGGAGGGTTTTTTGTTAAAGTCTTTCCACAAGAACTTCAATTAGACAGTTATGGAAGAATGAAACCGCATGAAATACAACACACTACGCAAAATGGAAACATCTAAAACTTCAACAGGGAGTGTCATCCACTGTCAGAATCATTTAGGTTGGAAAAGACCCTTAGGATTATCAAGTCCAACCATTTACCTAACAGTGCCAAGTCCACCACTAAAACGTATTTTACATAACTCCAGGGATAGTGAACCAGCCACTTCCATGGGCAGCCTGTTCCGATGCTGATAACTCTTTCAGAGAAGAAATTTTCCTTAATACCTATCTAAACCTCCCTTGACACAACTTGACGCCATTTCCTCTGGTCCTATCTCTTGCACCGTGGGAGGACAGCCTGACACTCACCTCGCTAAACTCTCTCTCAGGCAGCTGTGGAGAGCAGCCCAATCAATCAAACGCAACACCGTCATTACCAGGTTACCTAGCAACATTCTGATGTACCAAAATTCAAGSGAACTAAACTTTGAGGCATTCTGTCAATTTTATCTTGACAGACAAAAGGGAAAAAGGAGGAATCAGGGAATTACAAGCCAGTCAACTCTAGTCCATTCACAGAAAAACACTGAAAATAAAATYCAATTTGCCAACATCTACAAAGTATTGATGGGCTAAGTAACAGTCCACATGGATTTGTCARGAACAAATCACATCAATCCATCTTATTCCTATGACAACTATATAAATTTTGTGAATCCAGATGAAGCAACATCTGTCAAAACTTCAGTGGTGCTGTTGACAAAAAAATGCACAAAATTCTCAAAGGGAAGCTAGAAAAACACTGTCAAAAGAACACTCCCAATAAGAGAGATGTGTAAGAGTTTGGAAAAAACACAAAAACACTTGTAAATCATCACACTACAAAAACAAGATTTGAGCTTCACTAGAGAGAGCTGGATTGCAGACTAGGCTAATCAAATTTGCAAAGAACGCTAAGCTGGCCAGAGCTGTAGGCACACTTGATGCAAGGTTCTTGAGCAATGGGAAATAGGACCTGAAAAATCAAGGAAGCAATTTGGCAATGGTTACTGCAAAACAGCATCAGAAGCCAAAAACAGCTGAATGAAGAAAAGGAAAATAGTCAATTCCAGTACAATGGCACAAAACCCTGAAAAATATACTGTGATACATCTCTATTATTCATGACACCTATGAAGAAACTTTTGCCATSTAATTGGGCTAAATAAACCCAAAAAAGAAACAGTGCATTCAGTTATAACATCACAGCTGAAAATGGTGAATAACTGATAATCCTCAAATTATTTAACAGATGAACAAAGCTTTAGATAAACATCTGAAAAAGAATGAAACACATTTAATTACCTAGACTACAGCTGCCTAAAAGGTATCACTCTTAAAATGTACAGAAGACAGCTATAAAAAAAATAAATAAGTTGTTTTAAGTTGTTTTCTTTGTCCAATAGTAATAAGGAAAAGCAAAAATAGGCTCTCACTGAAGCAAAGGCTAAGTTAGGCTAAGTTAGACTCTAAAAACTCCTTTCTAAAGTGAGCCTAAAGACCTATTGGATTCTCATCACTGACAGTTCTAAGAACAGACTACAGAAGGAAATAAAAAGCAAAACAAAACATTGTCAGGAAAGGTTGAACACAGTGCTGATTCTACCCTGAAGCAGAGTGATGTCCCATTAAGACTCCTGCTTTTACTCACACCATTTTTGTCAATTCCTAAGCACAGGCTGAGGCATTTCCTTTGTATTTTTCATGATGCAGAACCTTCTTTCATCAGCACATTACCCATACACATCCAGACAAGCCCAAAGCACTTTAGCATTATCCACAGCACACTGACTTGTGGAGGTTTAGAGATTTTTGAGCTCAAAGTGAAAGCTGGGCATTTCAGGGGAAAAAAACCCTTCTTTTTCCATTCTTTTGTTTAGTCTTGTTTTCTGTTTTATGCAGAACACTTATCCCTTTCAGCTGCACTACCAGTTCACCCTCTAAAAACTACAGGCACAGCTGAAAATGATACAGTTCATAAAACTACATGCTCAGCTATTACTGAAAATGGAGCAAAATGGTATAATAYGAGTCAATTTTACAAGTCCTTCCATTAGGAACATGCTGTATTTCAGGTGATAAGAAAGTGACAAAAGTAAAAATCTAATTTTGTATGGTCCACTGCTACAAACTAAAAGACAATCCACAACAGCACCAATATGTTTTCTTTAATAGAGTGAATTATAAAAAGTTATAATTTCCTTCCCAAGAGACTCTGACAAATGCTTCACATGTATTGTATCTCCCTAGTTTGTTTCCTGGAACTGTTAATATCAAGACAGACCAAAAAATCAACCAACCCTATTTCTTTTTTTTTTGTTTGTTTGTTTTTTGTTTGTTTGTTTTGGATTTTTTGTTTATTTTTGTTTGTTGGGGGAGGGTTGGTTGGTTCTTTGGCTTGTTTTTTTATTGCAAACCAGAATTTCATTAGTCCTTACATATCAATAAGGCATGAACATAAGGACTTAAAAAAACCCTAAACAGTATGATCTTAGTTTTTTCCAGACATGCAACTGCTCAAGTCTACAATTGATTCACCCAGCAAACTYCCATAAAAGCATGTAAAAGAATGGAAACAAGAAGTCTGAAGAACACAGAGCACTGTGGGAGTGGCTGTGAGAATGAGAATATTAATCTGCATAGCATTTTCGTACAAGTATTTAATATTAATTAATATTATCTTCAGTACTAAATCACTTGATTGACAGGATCTTCCAACAGGAAAGCCTAATAAACTCTCCTAACTTTTGCTAGCAGAAAGATTTATTGTACCAAGAAACTGCTTTGTAAGAATAAATGATGAATTTAGGCCAAGCAAGTGACAGGGACTCCCTCGTTCTGAGTACCTCTCCCACATGAAGGTGCAGCTTTGCAGCAACACATGAAAGTCACACCTTTCAAAATGGYATGCACAGTAAGAGACACAGAAAGGGCAAAGGTTTTTTATGCCCTCATGTGTACAACAGAACAATTTCACCCACTGAGTGTACAGCATTTCTGAAGCACATTCCAGGATTACCATTCAGATGACTGAGCATTTAGGCCACAGGAAAGCTGACTGTGGTAATAGTTCGGAGTTGTGCACTGTCACCCAGTAAARTGTAAAATTCCATTTCATCACAGAAATATTAAGCTTTACAGTAGACATCAGTCTTTGTCATCATCATGTACTTTGCTTTCCAGTGATGCTCTTGCTATCATTGTTAAAGAATACTTTACTCTTAAGCACATATTTTCAAACAAACCTCAAATATAAAAATTACTCAACCTAAAAAAGGATAAAACTCTTATAAAAGTCCAAGCACTCGCCTAGAAATTACTTACAAAGCTTTTATATAAGTAAACATGTCATTCAGTCACAGTAAAYGCTAGCAAGCACCCAGTGGTAGGTAACTTACGGAAATTTTACCAATACAAGCATCTTCTGTATTTTGAATACAGAATGTACAGAAAGGAACTTATATTGGTAGTATCTTATTTCCATTAATTTTGAAAACAATAAAATTCTATCAGTATAAAAACATATAAATCTATCACAAAGTAAAGARGAAATATATTGTTTATTCAGAAGATGTTTGTTCCAGACTCAGAAAGGAAAGTTGTATCACATTACCACAGAGAGAGAGATTGTGGAAGTCCTGTAAGTAAATCATGCAAGTGCTCAAGGACAAAATTTCTTCCATGAATTTATGCTGTTTTATCACTGTTATGTAGCAAGTACATTAGGAGAAAAATCATAACTTTTAATGGTCCCTGGATGTCTTTAAAGAAGGTCAGCTTTTTTCAAGAACGATCACCATCGTTCATATTTATGTTACTTAAAGTATCTCCCTGTAAGAACAAAAGGCTGGACCTGAGCAGTAATTTTTTTGTATCTGAGCTTCCCAATCTGTCTTCTATAGCCTGCAATTTTCTCTTGTTTCAAACAGGGAAAGAAGGTGCTGATAGTGACAGTTACCACCTAATATAGGCCAAAGTATGTATTTCATTATTATGGAACTGTCACATGGGAAGGCATGATCTCCTACAAATATAAGGCTCTTAGAAACGACACACTCCAGCCTTAATGAGAAGGGTGAATGCATGTATGCACTTCAACTTTCCTAAATAGAAAAGCTTCAAACACAGCACATATTAACTCCACACTGGATACATTAACTTTACAAAGACAGCATCAAAAAGATCACAACAAATAATCACAAGGTAAGGTTTTCAGCAATGAAAATCAGTTTATTTATTAATATCTAGGGTCACCTGACACTTTCAGTTTTGTCGGAATGGGATGGATAATTTCGCATTCTATTTCACTTTGTGCCCCTTGGATGAAAATTATCTTGACCACCACACGTAGAGTTGTGTAACAAAGTCAGCAATGGAATGTTGGCTTACAGGACCATGGTAGGGTGGCCACGGAACTGCAGAACCAGAGAGCACACATACAAGCAGGGGAAAGTAACATTTAAGTGACCCTAAAGGATTCACTCAAATTCTAGTGGATGCAGACACACAGTTTCTAAGATAATTTAATAACCCACAGGATGCGAACRAGCACTGTGTGTTAATCTGTCCCTGATCTTTAACTCCTATTAAAAAGCCAAAGGAGGCATCCTAGAGATGGAAATGCTCCATTGTGTATTAAATCACTACCAGCACATAAATCTGTACCGGTACATGGAATGAAAGAAATGTCTTAGACTAAGGGTAAATTTCCACTGCCAACTTCAAGACTAGTACGCTGCAGACAAGGCAAACAAGTAAGCACCCTACTGGGAATAATAATTCTGACATTYCTTAATTTCAAAGTGTTGACATTTTATACTATTTTTACTTAAATATGCATTTCAATTCTGCCCAAACCAACACTAACAAATATAAAAGTCTTCTTRTCTCAGGCACTGGTTGATCACTTTTCCACTTGGGATACTGCTTGTCTTCCTTTAAATAACAAATGATGACAACCAGCAGTAACAACCACCTCCTCACGCACAGGAAGTTCAACACTGTCACTGATGGGATCATTATTTCACTGTTCCTACAAAGAAACTGCTTCTATAAAAGGAACCTATCAACTAAAGGAACCTATCAACTAAAGAAGAATTTGTGGTACGTAACTAAAATGTGGTGATACTGGGTTCCACCCCCATATTATCTGCTATTTTTCATAGATACTCCAAGTATCTCACTGGCAAAATACACTGACCTCATCAGCATTCCAAATTAGCATAAATTGTTTTGTATTTAACTGAGTCCTGTAAATATGAATTAAGAATAAAGTTTTGCTAAATTATATATCTAATTGTTCTAGAACAGCTGCTTACTAAAGAAATTTTCTGAACCCTCTTAAAAAACTTTAGAAATAGACATAAACTGAATACAGATAGTAGATATAAATTGGATCTCTTACTCCAAAAAACTTTGACCACAAGGTCAAAGATTTTAAAGCTTTTCACTTTTACCCTAGTAATAAAACATTGTGGACCTAAGCAACACGTTTAATTATTTGTACATGAACAATAGAGATGTTTTACATGATACTCAGTGAAATTCTTCAAGAAAATTGGAGAGAGCAATTAAGTATTGCTGTAAGTTTCTATGGAAAGGCTTACTGCAATCAGCCTTCAAATCCTGTAACATGTAAGCCAAGGAGRTATCACTTTTTCCCACCACATTTTCTCAGTTTCTTCACCAGCATATGCTATCCTAGCACGTRGTATATAAAAATATCTTCCATGATAGAAAAAAAAAATATTTTGAACCTCACAGACATTATAAATTTGAAATTCGGTCTACATTATAAAATCCCTCAAAAGCTATTCAACATATCCACTATTGAATTTGATCTGTTTTTAAGACTCTGCCTTATATAAATCAATTTACAACTGTTATATTTAAAAAAAAAACCACTGCTGCTGGAGGAAATAAGTTAACRTAACTTATAAATGCAACATATATAAAAGTCATAGGAATTAATTATTTGTAACCTGAAGATCAGGCTTAAAAGTACATAAACAAACCCCAAATAATTATTTATCTAAAATAGTCATCTTCAGGTTTGCTTTTCAAAAATAAATCAAGTTATATTATAAAATAAATTAAATTTAAATTCCAAAATTAAGATGACAAGCAGCTAAGTGAAAGCTTTACTTTTTTCCTAAAATACAGAGTACCAAGTAGAATAAGTTCTGCATGCAAAACCAAATATTTGGAAGTCAGCAAAACACACTCAGAAGACAGTGGGAGCTTCCAGTTCTTTCCAAGCCTTTGAACTACTCAAAGATGTACAGTGCAGAGATTTGATTCATTTGAAACCCTGACATTTAAGCAATCACAAGAGTCCTCACAGTTGAAGGAAAATCTATGAGGCTGAAAAACCCTACAGCTCAAGCAAAGAGTTTTGAATTTTACTTCAAAGACAATACTGCCTTTTTATCTCAATGATGCTTTGGACAGAAAATAATCAAAATCTATTTATAGCCACAATCATACTACATATGCTTTAAACGTAAGCAGATTATAAATTTGTAGGGGCCTTAAATTTGGTTTAATCTAAAAACACTATGTAGAATTTTCCAAAGGCTGCCTTTTCACCAGTTTAAAGACATTTACTTCATTTGCAATCCAATCCAATCTTTTCTTCTAGTCAATACCAGTTACCACTCCAAATTCCAAATTGGAATAGATAAAGCATATGAAACATTATCCAGTCACCATACCCCCTTCTCTTTTTCAAAGGGTTTTGTTTATTTCCCTCTGGATAAGAGAAAAAAAGCACAATATGATGGAAAACTTTCATTGTATCTACCAAAATTTATTTAAGAACACAGCAGGGCAGTACTCTTGGTAACAGACAAGCTGTTACCCTTTGTTCCTCTTCAGTCAATACAAATAGACTTGTATCTTTTGTCTTTGTTAACACTAGAAGGCACCTCGGGAAATTAGTAGAGTTAGGCTAAAATTAGATTTTGGAATACTCCTGGAGAGCCATAAAAATTCTCTCTCCTCACAGAATTTCATCTCTTAATTAGGGAAACTTTTTGTTTCTGAGTTTTATAGAAGACAAACACAAATTATCTCCTAATTCAGGAAGTCCATTAATGTCTTTTACTCACAAAAGATYTAGAAATTGACAGGAATATCAAACAGATAAGGTGCACTTCTGTTCAGTAAGAAGCATTTCAAAGTGACACATGCCTTGTACATTAGAATGGAGGTTGGCAGAAACTGCTTGCCACAAAGGATTTTAAACAACTGCAAAGTGATGTACAGCTTGCCCTTTGGCAGCCCAGGAAATAAGTTCCAAAGCCATTTCCCCAAGAGGATTCAGCCAGGCATTATTATACCAACAAATCAAAAGAAGTAGGGTAGCCTGGCTCAACAATATTTAAATAAATATTTTTTTTTTTATGCATGAGATACAGATCTCATTATGCTCAGTAAACCAGCTCTGTTAGTGGGGGAGCAAGTGGACACTTCTACCCTACATTACAGCAAAACTCTCTTTATTCCATCATAAGAAGAAATTCTGCTGTGGGGTAGCATCCCTCTACTACATTCTCCAGTCTTCCTGAATTGGAAACAAATCCCAAAGCCCAGCAGTTTCACTGATTCCACAAAGAACCCCCTCACAGYCAACAATGGCAATAATTTACATGAAATGTAAGCACTACTCTGCACTCATGTAAAAGTAATCACTCTAAGTGAAAAGAGTCCACATCACAATGYTGGAATTTATGAGATTCCCATTTTACTAGCTGGAAAGCACAGTGGTTAAAAGGGAAGTATGTCAGAGCTATAACCTTGATTGTGTCCACCACTCTAATTGGAAAACCAGATCTCTAAATCTTCRTTTTGACACTTTTATTTATCCCCTTCAAGCCTGGATCTGAAGCCTGAAAAATTTAAGTTGTTAAAGTGGTGATGTCTCAGCTAACAAGAATCTCTCCGTGTAGTGTAAGCTGCCGAAGAACAAAACACTGTCTTACCTATACACTGGCTCCAGGAGGGCTGCTTTAAGACTCAAAATATGAACTCACAGAACAGCCTTCCTGCTCCTCCCAGGAGCTATTTTCAGAGGGAATAAGCCCAGACATCAAAAGAATGTGGGACACTGAAAGGAAACAGTTTACCTGCCGCCAGCTGGTATCTGCTCTGTGTTTAGGCCCAAAGGACACACCCCACTACAGACAGCATCTTTCAATTCATGTCAAATGGCAGATCCTTTCAGACTTCTCAAACTGTTTTCCCCACCAAAGATTTACCCTGATTTGATTTAGCATCTGAGCTTACTCACAGAATTAGTCCCAAGGACTTGCAGCTTTGGTTCGCCTGATTCCAGCAGCTTGGCCACCATATGAAGGAAACTTTCCACAAATGGTTTTATGCTTTGAGAATGGCAAGCCATTAGAAGTTGATCCAGTGCCTCCATGGCAATTAAAACATAACTGAAAATTAATCAGAGAGACTCACATAAAGATGTATTGCATTTATCATTTATTCAATTAGTTCAATTCAGGTTCTTATCACAAAAAATAGAAAAGAAAGAAAGGAAAGCACGTATTTTCCACTGTATAAAAATGACACTTAGTGTTATTTCCTACATCCATATTTTCTCTTTTTTTCTCTTCTTTATGAGGGAGGGGGTGGATAGGTGGGAGGGGAAGTGGGGAATTGAGTGTTGGCCATTTACCCTTTATATAGTTATAAAGTCTTCAGATATGGAGGCAAAAAAATTATAGTCTGCGATGTTGATTTTTTGCCAATTCCTGACACTTCTTAGACTCAATATTTCTCACTTAAATATTTGATTTAGCCAAAAGGGCTGAAAAGAAAAGGTGTATTGGGTTWACATAGCCAGGTTTTAGCAGCAATGGGCTGTGAGGGTGCTTTCTTTGAGAATCCAGGAACTGTMCCCATGACAGACACAGCCAACTCCAGTCAGCTCCAAGACCAACCCACACTTTCCCAAACCAAAACCCATCAGGGATGCTGGAATTGCCCCCAGGTAAGCAGATATCCATAGTGCAGACCATGGAGGACCCTGTGCTGGAGCAGGTGGATGTGCCCTGAAGKAAGCTGCTGCCCATGGAAAGGCCCTGCTGGAACAGGTTCTGGGCAGGCCCCATGGAGAGGAGCCCATGCAAGAGCTTTTCTGGCAGGACCTGTGACCCCAAGGGGGACCCATACTGGAGCAGCCTGTTCCTGAAGGACTGCACCCTGCAGAAAGAAGCCACGCTAGAGCAGTTCTTGAAAGACTGCCAACAACAAGGACAGAGCYAATGCTGGAGCAGGGTAAGAGTGTGGGGAAGAAAGACCAGGAGACACACAAGATGGTACAAGCTGACCACAGTCTCCATTCCTAATTTGCACTGCTTGGTGTGGGTGGAGGTAAAGGGCTTGGGAGTGAAATTGAGCCTGGGATGAAAGAGAGGTGGAGCAAAAGTGGTTTTTAGCTTTGTTTTCATTTCTCGCTATCCTATTCTGTCATTAATTGGCAATAATTAAATAAATCCTCCCCAAATTAAGTCTCTTTTTTTTCCCATGATGGCACTGAATAATCTCCCTGTCCTTATCTCAACCCATGAGCTTTCCATTTTATTTTCTTCTCCATCTGGCTGAGCAGGAGGAGTGAGAGCAGCTGGATGGGCGCTTGGCAGCCAAACAAGGTTAACAGACCACAAAGGGACTGGGTCTGTCTTGCCTTCCAGACTTGATCWGAACAAACATGATGAAATTCCATGACTTGTTAGCATCTATTTTTAATGCTGTGACTTCTCTCCTTACCCATAGCGATGTCTGACTACATCCCTGCTCAGTCTCTCTGCAAGGTAAGCCCCAATTCGATCCAGCTTCTCTGGTGCAGAAACTGCATAGAAAGTCAGCTTCTCCATGTCAGCTTTAACAAGACCATCCTAAAACCACAAATACAAAATAGAAAATTATTATAATAGAAAAGGAGTTCATAGGAAGTATAAGCTTTCCAAGTGGTTTTTTTTTTCTTTTTTCTTAGTTAAAGATCAGGGCTTTACAGATGGAAATAAGCTTACAAAAAAATTTAAAAAAAACCCCAAACATCTGAGCAAAACAGCTTAGCTGCAAAAATCAGCAACATTAAGCAATTAAAATATTTTTTGATGAAATGAAGCAGCTAGCTTGCTCCACCATATTTTTGTGATGGAAGAGGTATTTTATGAGAAGATATGTARTGAGATATGTAACCAGTTCTAAGACACACTTCTTTTCTACTAGAACAATTTAATATTTTTATGTTCCCATCCCCCCCCCAAAGTCGATGTGATGCACAATTTTGATAAAATATACAAACAAGATTGTAGTCTAAATATTTTATATTGTAGTTTAAATATTTTATTTCTTCAGTGTCAGATCTTGAACAAGGCTGATCTCCAGGCACCTGAAGGCTAATTGTTAGAACAACATCAAAGATTAACATATCAGCTCCAATGTGAACTTGCAGCATGGATCTGCWCAGATGAGGTTATAATCATAGCTATCAGGAAAGCAGGATAAGGCTTTTCGTCTCTTTTTTATTCCTGGAAGTTCATGAAAATATTTGTTTTTCAAATAAATTACTTTGAGGCTTTTTAAACACTCATTATTGATTAATGGATTTTATCAAGCAATCTTCTCATASTTTAGAGAAGGTCTGTAACTCAAGAGAAACATCATGGACTGGCCTGTGTCCTGCTCTAAGCCAATGGATATTAACCAAAACAGAGACTAAGAAGTGCCAACTCAGGGCTTCTGAGCGACATTTAACTATAACACTACAACTGTAGCAATTCCAGGAGTTTCTACAACTGTACCAAAAACCAGGTTAGAACAAATAAACCCATAAAACGATACTGTTCCATGCATTCAATATATACTGTATCCACAGAAAACATTTGCTTTAAAGCCAGTAACATGCACTTACATAATCACTGGCACTCAATCACACCACAGTTTTTTAAAAAAGACCACATACTTTGTAACATATAAGCCAAATATTAAGCAAATACTGACTGTTCTGCTAACTTCTACTATAACAAAATATATAAAAATTTGATAATACACTTAAAAAGTGGAGCAGCAGAAGCATAAGCTCTTGATCAGTCTGAACTGTCAAACGATTATGTGCAGACATAGGCATTACTAAATTGTACACACAGTTATTTATTTTCACAGAGAGCAAGAGTTAGGCTTTAACACAGATCCAAGATTGTTGCAGTGAAATTAAAAGAAATAAAATTGTAAATGAGTACCTGGAGAAATTAAAAAAAAAACCTATCAGAAAAACATTTTTGGGTCACAACAGTCTACCAGAACCATAAAAATGTTCACAGTCATTAAGTCAAGAGTTAAAAAATTAAAATCCTGTAGAAAACCAGAAAATGCTCACACCTGCAACAACAAGAAAGCATTTGTATTTCTAAAAGGTGATGAAGTCAAKTACTATCTCTGCAGCAGAGACAGTAATTGTTTAATTAAATCTCTGTTTCTCTGAGCAAAACATAATAATTYTATTCTTCAATGTGCAGCCCTGCTTTGGAAATGGAATTAGACCAGATGTTTTACACAAGTCCTTCTCCAGATAAATTATTCTACTAACGTCTCTTAAAGCTATTAAGTGCTAAAGCAGAATTTATGGTAAAACATTAAAAGAGAAAAGAAAAAATAAAGTTAAAAAAGAAATTGCTTAAGCACTGGCTATAACCAAAATTTTTCAAACACCATTCCCTTAAAATTTAAAAGTCATTACTCACTTTTGGATCTTCAGGAAATATGTTATCTACCAGACGCTTGTAGCGAGGTCGCAGCGCAGCACAGCAGCAGCAAACTCCTGCAGAGAGATTTACCCAACGGGATTTAGAATGCAGTTCTGGGGACTCATTTGAAGGGACAAGCTGACAAGTATGGAGGAAGAAGATAACACTGAATTCAGCTTGCTATCAGCAATAAAGCAAAATCAAGGGAATTGAAAGCACAAATAAGTCAAATAAGCAAAACGACCATCACACATGAGAAAATATGCAAGCATATCGGGTGCTAAAAATGCACCTGTCATCCATACCTAGAAACATGCAGAAAAGACAAGGCATTTTAAAATTTAGTCMTATTAAAATCAAAGCTACTTTATTTGTGGGTTTATCTTCATTCTGAATGACTGTTTCAAAACATCAAAATGTGCATTGTGTTCATTATTCTAAAAAATTAAAACAAAAATGAAATTTGTTTTAAAGGTACCCATATAAACCAACAKAAACCATAATATACAAAACAAGCTCTGCCTTCCTTATTGCTTATCCTTCCTTTTACTGGGCATTGGTGAAATGACAGCCAGTTGAAGCAGAGAAATGAATTTTTTTGATCTCATTTCTACTCTATTACTAATGCATATAATYAGAACAATGCATATAACTTCAAGTTTATTAATTTTAGAAGTCACASTGCCTGGTCTAGAAAGCTAACAAACCTGCAAAGCATTGTTTGGTCTTTTTTCTAGCACTTARGACTACTAGAACTTTGGAATTAGGTTAATACACAGCACAAAAATAAATAATTAAAAAAAAAAAATTCTAGGTATCTGTCCAGCTGTTTATCATGGCAGACTTAATCCCTTTTTAATTTTTTTTGAGAAATCAGATTTTAAATGTTTCAGTGGACATATTACCTGATTAACTCACTGGTCAGGCCTCAGATCAACACCAAAGTCGCTCTAATGCACAAGAGCTACTCAGTAAACAATAACACACTCAATAATAGTATCTCAAGCATACATGCAGATCATGTCTTTCAAGTCTCRGCATGTGAAGGATTCACAGTAGCTAAACACCTTGCAAATGCCTTATTAAGGGAATCCAATTACATACTCAAATAAATCTTGTAACACTTTGCCAAAAATAGTAAAAAATGGAAAACAATAAAGGGTATCTTGGAACAAACTGATTACAATTTATCTGCAAATGCATCCAGACTTGCGTATCTTTACTTAAAATATCTAAGTAATCTTAGTGGTTTTTATCCATATTTATCAGARCATCCGGGAGATTCATTACAAAGACTTCCCCTGCTGCACTTGGTTTTTATTACAAGACTCTACAGTAGACATTCTCCTCTATTCCACCTGTTTTCTGATATTATTTGTCTTTTGGACAAAAAATGTATTCTGCACATACTTCAACAACTTATTTCTTCCAATCTATTTAATCAAAAACAATTATCAAAGACAGATCTGTGATTTTAGAACTGTACACTAACTCAAAGTTCTCCCCAATGGTCCTGATTTCTCCCCAGCTCATGAATTAGAGTCCTGTATCACCAGTAAGATCAACGCTGACTTATGACTTCAATACATAATTACAAAAACAAAAAGAACCACTCTGGGAATAAACACATGAAATACTGAGAATTTTTCTGTTAAATAGTACTTTGTTATTACTGTCAAACTCTTCATACAATTCCTGCTGATGAAGTCTAACAAATGTAAAAATCTACATTTACATAAAAGCTGCAGGTAAGAAGTAACTAATATCAAAGYTGTTTAATATGCCACTGGAAAATGTAGGTATGCAAAGGCATTAAAACCCTAACTGACTTAAAACAGAAATAATTTAGACAGTTCTACAAAAATATTCTAATGAGAGCATGCTGTGCAATATTTTAAAAGTAAACAAAATCATAGTAACAAAAGAGTACTGTATTAATGTCTAGTATATTATTATGTATGGGGAAATTCGGGTAAGACCATCAAAATCCACAAAAAGAACCCCATAATATTGCTAGACATTTCTTGATTTAGGAATGCAACTGTGCACTTGGCTGATCACTCTTTGTACTTGGTGTTCCTACTTGGTTTTCTRCCTTATGGTTGACCATTAACTTTGCTCCACAGTAAACAGTACGTTTGATTACAACTAAATATAGCAAAATATTCYAGCAATAACTGTAGCAAAATATTTTGATACAACTACCTAAAACATAWCAATAGCAGGAAAACATTCAAAAATACTGCAAGACAAGCAATTAAAAATATTTTAAAAATACTTTCTCCATATCTAAATTACAGAAGAAAATCTTTGCAAAGAACTGCAATTTAAATCTTAAAATGGTGTTTTAAACCCAGTTAATTACATAAATTTAACATAAAATCTGGATACAGTTACTCCTTTGAGATGGATAAAAACGATCAGATAACAGTACCAGCTCATTCTGGCAGCATTACCGGGAGGTTTCAGTTAATGGAAACATAATATTGTTGAAATACTGCTTTTCAAATTTACGGCGCATGGAGAATTTTATACTGCTTTTCAAATTTATGGCGCATGGTGAATTTTGACACCAAAAAAAGGCCTAACAGTAAGTACATGCAAGATTTAAATTTTTCTCCTCATCTTGGATTTTTGATAGTATCTTTACATTGCTATGTATTTAATTATAGAAGTGTTTAAATGGAAAAAAAAACCCATAAGCTTGTCAAAAATTCTTTATCATCAAAGTATAAACCTAAAATTAATATGATGTTAATACCATCAAAAGAACTTCCTACACTAAACAGAACGTTCAAGTATCAGAAAGTGAGATTTAATCTGTCAAAGCTTTCAGCCTCCAAGCAGAGCACTATCAGAAATAAAACTSACAGGCACTCCAAACAACACAGAAAAAAATGACAACCAAAACCAAAAACCAAAATAATTAACAGTCATGACATGGATTTTGTGGAAAAACTACTAATTATTGCTCAGTTATACAATTTTGATATAACCATGGAAAATTAATAAAACTGTAGAAATAGGTTTAAAGAATGTATGAATATATATATTTAAAAAAAAAAAGACAACAAAGCAAAATAAATAAAAAAAATAAAGTCAACAGCTTACATTAAAAATAACCCATAAAATCTAGGAACCTCTTACTACATAGATCAAAAAGATGAATTTTGTAAAAGACGGATAGAAGTTGAATAATTAAAAACTGATTCCCTACTTCTTGGATATCAATTTAACACAGACAAAAATATATCCAAATAAACACATTCGTTTCATAAATAAAATGCTTTGTAGGTCTGTAGAACACAGRTAAAAAGAACCTGTTCTACTTTAAGCAAGTTTATTGAGGAAAAATCCTATGACAATTCCTTTTTAGTGTTAGGCAAAATTTGCATTTTAATGGCCTCCTCCTTGCAGACATCTTTATACCATTTAATGAAAGTAAATATAAAGGTTAAAGCAATATCTACAGTCTACACTGTAATGTGATAGTGAATGAAAAAAGTTTAAAAAATACTTATTATTTGTTTCTCCAGTAGTGGGATTTTTATCAAATTAAAACATGCACATTCTCTTCAGTTAAAGGAGTCCTATAATCTGTATTTGACATGATAACACTGTACATATTTACCAGTTGCACAGGTACTTCTCTTTACACATATTTATTCTACACAACAGCAGTAAGATACAGYCCCCGCTATCAGAAAATGGGAATTTCACCTACCCAAACACATACACGGTCTCGGTTCAAAAGCAGAATTATAATCATAGGCTTTTTCTTGCTCAACAGTTGGAACTTGCACATACTGCCTCATCCTGGATATGAATTCACTCCCCGGGAACTGTCTCCTTTCCCAGAAATTTGCTCTCTCACACTCACATAGCGGCGGTTACTTCCCGCGAGGGCTCTGCAATACTGTAAGCTTATCTGATCAGCTCTGTGACATCTGCATAAAGCCACCAAACACGTGAAAAACTTCAGTATCAAATTCTGTTAACAAGGCCAGGCACAAGAAAAGAGAAAGGAATAAAAGATACATTATCAATGTGTGATTCACAGCTCCTTGAATGAAACTGCACAGACAGTTTCATTACTTCAACTTGCCTGAAACACACAGTTCATTATTTCTCTGACTAGAAGTAAAAAAATCCAAATAGTTTCAGGAAAAACTATCCTCAGTCAGCTGCCACATATCACTGCAGAGTGATAAATATTTTAACAAAACYTACTCCCTTGGTCTTCTTGTAGAACAGACAGAGAGAAACTTATTTAAGGCAGACTACTGACCAAAAAGACTTTTTTAAACAGAACAGCTTATTTTACCTCTAAGATTAAAGAAACAATCTAAAAATAATGAAATTTACATTCTCTCTAATATTACTTTTGAATTTAAGAAGCAAGGATTACAGAACGTAAATCATTAACATCCTTATGACACATCAGGKAGAAAATCAGTTTTGAGTTAAGCAATTCTGAAGTTACTTTCCAACTTCCCATGAATTTTCAGCATTTTATTGTCTCACTTCCTACATTACATCCACTTGGGCAACACAAATAAAGGATKTTCATAGAGACATTTTTATAAACCCTGGAAGTTGTAAGTATTGTTTTTAATAAAAACATAGCTAATAATTTCCACTATATAAAAAATCCATACCAATTCTAGACTCAGGAGATTAGTGTTAATAACTCACTGAGCTACACAGAAACTGTAACCACATAGTTTACTACAGGAAATCCTATGGTGAAAATTAGAAAAATACATATTACAATATGCATATTCAAATTAGTTGGTCTGAATATTTGTGCTACATCTTACTCATACAAAATTCCAGGAAAACAAAACCTTCAGGGTGGGTTTAAACATAAAACACCAAGTTCTGCCCTTTGAGTTTAAAATGCCACATTATTTTCTTCTTTATAAAAACCTAGGAAAAGGGAAAATAAGTCATCCCTTTTTATCTAATGCTGGAATTTCTTTCAATGGTGTCTAATATTGTTGCCAACTGTTTACAGAGTATTAATAACCTGAAGCAACATTTCATGTTCACACACTGAATATTTTTGCTATGT